AAAAATTGCATTCTTTAAAGTACAATGGGAACTATATTTAATTATTTATTTTAACCTTTCATCTGTGATCAAAGATCACACTAGGGCATTGTAATGTGTATTTTTTTAATAAATGATTAACACTCCGTTTATTAAAATATTACAGGTTCCCTGTTGACCAAATCATTTTGGTTAGATTGGCAAGCCCATGTGGTCCTTTTTTTTTGTCATCCTTGTGGAATTGAACAACTAGCTGAAGATACATTTATACTCATCCCAATTATAATTACTGTGATAGCATACAACACTTCCAGATATTCACTACCCTTTCCACGTCATTAATACTGGGAGGTCACTCCATGTTACTCCTATCCTTTCACTATTACTGTTATCTTTTACTGCTTCCACTGGATAGCTATTCCAGGTATCTACTACTCTTTCTATATAATCATTCATCTTTGCTACCTCTATCAGCAGGTTGTTTCGTGCCCTGTCCCTTCTATAATATGTTAGACTTGTTAGTTTCCACCGGAAGGCTATGCCATGTATCTACTACCCTCTATTTACTACCTCCACAGGGAACCCATGCTTCTACTACCCCTTCTATAATACTGTCAGCAGGGGTGTTTCCAGGTGGCAAAAAAAAAATCTCTTTAACCCAAGGGGATATTTCATAGCCAGCCTTCCTTTGTTTGCTATTCAAACCTCTGCCTCCTGTATGTTAAATTATTGCAGAAATTGTAATAGCTTGACTGAGAGAATCAGTCTCAATATTATAAATTGTAACATTGAGAAAGAAGTGACACCTCAAATTGCAGATATTCAGGGGATTTGGGGTTTTCAAGAAAAAGGTGCTAAAATAAAAAAATGTACCTTTTAGGGGGCTAATTGGGTTCTAGTCCAGCTCAGTCCCATGCAAAGTTCCACTGTGAGAATTTTCAGATTCCACAGAAGGCTATTCCACGTATCAACTAAATCACTGCTAACATGCGCTACTTATACTGGGGGGATATTCCAAATATCAGCTATCCATTTTATACAAATTTGAATCTCTACTAGTTCCACTGGAACTGGAAGGCGTTCCCCCTTTAAGATCTCTGCTATCTTTAATTGCTTCCACTGGAAGGCTACCCAGGTATCTACTACTCTTTGTAGATCACTTGTTGGCCTTTACTGCTTCCACTGGAAGGTGATTCCAGGTATCTACTACTCTTTCTGTAGAATAGTAGTTATATGTTTGGACTTACCATAAAGCAGTTTTGAGCACACTGTTGTTGGATTCTGATTTGCTAACGATATTAAGGATTGTAGTTCAAATCAGATTTCTGAAGGGAGATATTGATTCACCTCCCAGTTACTCTGTATGTATCTTGTACACAGCAGTAGATCAGGTTTTTAAAAATAACCCTTCCATGACCAATATTAAGTGCTGCAATACAAGTCAGTGCTTCCAATTTGTAAATATGATATCACCATCTTTAAATCTCACCACTACAAAAACAAATGCAGACACCATAATTGCTGTAAACAAATCACATTTCATAGCATTATAAATTTAAAATAAATAGGATTTATTCCTGAAACGAGGGATTTGTGTAAGAACTGCACATTTTATGACAATATAGCTAAATTGTAACTATAGTTTTAGAAATTATACAGATCTGGTATTTTAGTATAAAATTTACAATTACACTCCAATTGTAAATTGTTTTAGATTGGTCACCGGATTGCAAAATCTGGGTAAAAAAAAAAAAAAAAACGTCCCAAATTAGCTCTCTTTATAATTTAGTTATTTGGCCTAAATAATAATAACAAAGTATTTACCCAGGAAAGGTACATTCACATTGCTCCGGTTGCCAAGTACATCCTGGGGATGTTACGTTTGCCCAACATCCAGGGATTGTTACTCGTGCAATACTCCACTAATGTCCAGTTTAGTGAAAAACCTTGTATATATACTACGTGTTAAAAGGACACTCTAAGCAGGATGTACCCCACAGCTCAGATTAATCAGCACCAGAAACTATAGAGACCATAAGCACTGCACCAAGCTCTAATAATATTTCGAGTTGTACTAAAACACCAAGCTACTTTAGTTATACTAGCTAGAATGCTCTTTTAAAGGGATACTCCACCACACAAAAATAATCACTATTTAGTAAAAACATTTATGCATTTAATTATACGTTTGTTTAATTGGCGTTATATCTAAAAGCAGCTTGCAAAAGCTGCTGATCTGTTGTCCGCAGCCTTTGCAAGCCCCTCCCCTTCTAACTCCGCCCAGACTTTCTGTGGCTGTCCAATCACAGGCTTTCCAATGCAGCTCAATGAGAAGTCTTTGCAAGGCAGGTGCTTTGTGCAACTGTCTGCCTTGCCAGTTCAGTTACAATGAGCTAACCAAACCAGGCAGTAACGGGAACTGTTGTCTGATTGACAGCCAGGGGGTGTGTAACAAGGATAATTTATAAAAGTGCCAATTTCTATTGAAACCTGCACTTTTTGTAAAATGAAAAAAAAAAAGGCAAATTCTTTAATCCTAAAACCCAACTTTCAGTAACTGATGTGCTTTAAGTGTGTGCAGTGGTCCTTTAAAGGGACACACGTTCATTTTAAATGAGGCCCTACAATGTCTTATGGTAGTTGACACACACCCACAGAAATTGTATCTGCGCACGTGTATATAATAGTCATCTCTGTACGTATTGTCGTTATATATTTTTAATAGTCTAAGTGAAAAGAGATTTCCGAAGCTTGGTGCTGGAGATAGTGTATTGATTCATTGAGTGCTTTAACTCTACTGCCACCTAGTGGTTATTTTATTTAAAGCGCACACCCCTGTGGCTGCAGGGGACAGTGCTTCTACAAAGGGAAATATAGATTGTATATTAAAAATAAAGGTCTAAATTAAATTGATATAGATTATTTCCATGTCCCCATTTTTTGCTAATTTTGTGCCTTGTTGTAGAATGGAATGAGAGTGAAACATTTTGGTATACGCCTCTTCCGCATATTGTAAAGCGCTGCGGAATTAGTTGGCGCTATATAAATACTAATAATAATAATACGCAGCACAGACAAGGTTAATTCCATTACTGAACGGCCTCATTTCAATTTAAACATTATTAATTATATGTAGCTGGACCCAAGATAGATGGAGACAATGTCGTAGCTAGGTGTGTAATGTAACGGCATTAATAGAAAATAGGATTAAACCATCGGTTGCATATAGTTGGGGCCTCAGTGCCTTTGAATTGCCCCTTCAACAAAAAATATAACATGTGCCAAGGGCTTATTCACTAAACTGTGATAGTGTTCATCACTAAATTGTGATTTTCTAAGAGTTCAAAGTTAATTTGAATTCCCAATAATCTACCTTCGTGATAACCATGGCAGTAGTGTTGAGTTGAGAACTGACCGTCATCCTATACATTTCTTTAAAACTCGATTTATTGTGACCTAAGTTTCGAAAGCTGATTGTCACTTCCCTGTTAGCAAATTAACTCTCTAAAACATTGCAAATTATATTGATATCTAGAGATCAGTCAGTAAAACGTCCAATTTAGACTAAAAGCACTTTACTTGCAGCTAACTGACTACTGGTTATACATTATTCCAAATTCTGATTTATTGGTGATAATTTTGAAGCCGATTTACACTCTGTTTAGTGAATAACTACCTAAATCAATTACTGTATTGGGATTCCTGATGATTAAACAATTCACATAGATAAGTCCCATTACTTTCACATGACCCTCATTTCAGTTATGTAAGGCTGCAGGGAACATGTGCATACAGTAATTTGTAATCAATTGGAATCATTTAAATTTATTTAACATAGAGAGCTCTTTAATACGTCTAAAACAATCATACAACTACTAGAGGTAAGCCGTAATTTTATTCCATGTATTTTGCCATGTCAATGCTCGAAGGGCTATGTGCGTGATCTTGTACTCGGGAGATGTACTAAGAGCTGCAATGTTGGAGGGATAAAATTTGGGTAAAATCAACGAATGAACTGAAATGCATCCAAGCACAGTGACACAAACAATACCCTCGCTGCAGCTGTTGTGAATTAAAACTTCTGTTATGTGCCGCCATTGATGCGATCACTTGAATGCCACAGTTTTGCCTAATTCTAGAATTCTCTGCCATTTTTAATAATTTAGTAAACCTGCCCTGCATGTCTGTTCTCAGTTTAACAGTCCATCCTTCTGTAGACCATTATTATTTGCCACCTACCCCTCAGAGATGGGTTTCCAAGAATATGTGTTCTCTTTGAATATAATAGCATGATTAAATAATAAAACTATTTGAAATTACACTGTATAGTACTGAGTTTTACTTTTTGTGTGTATGTGAATTATGTAGCTTTGAGAAAAACATACCTCCAGAGGGCTCCTATTTACGAGGGACAGTCCCTATTTCTGTCCTAAAGAACCTTTTTTTCTAGAAATGTTTCTTGTGCATGAATGTACAACAGAACTTTTCCAAAATAAAACTCGCAAGAAGGTTCTTTAAACTTATAACATACTTTAGTCTTGTTCTAAACTACATGTTTAGCTGCATAAATTGTTATCTGTAGGTCATGAAATCACCTTAAATGTCAAAAACAACCACGTGTCCAGAAACACAACCAAAAATTAACTATGTCTTTGGCCATTTTTAATTTGGGAGGGTGAATAAAATGGACGATTTGGGATTAACTATTGTATGAGTGATTTTTTTTCTTCAACATACATCACAACTGTGTATTTTGACAGCATGGAAAACTGTATAATTGGGCTGTCGGGTAACCTAACCAAAAGGTAAGATATAAATAAAATTTCTCATTGAAATGTTAAATTATATTCAATAATTCTTGATTCCGTTTCCCATTATATATTTTCCTACTGTTGCTTTAATAGGATGTCTGACATTTAAAGTTGAGCAGAACAAGGGAGGCCAATAGCTGTTGCACTTCCCATTTTACTACTTAGAATGATTAATTATGTGTATATTACGCGCACATTAACAGGTCTGTCACAAAATAAAAGTCAGAGATTGTTTTTCCCAGAAATGTCAGTTTTTATTAACATTTTTAATGGTGTTTTTGGCTGTGTGCATTGTGGGGTAGTGAAGGATATACACCTTTTTATATACATTTTATACATACATATATATAGAGAGAGTGAGAGAGAGAAAGATATGGAGAGAAATTCAGTCTTCTGATATTGTATTTACAGATAATTGGAATAAGCAATTGACAGATGTTTACAAAGCACTCTAAATCTCGTTGCTCATTGGCAGACCCATTAATACGTCGAGTTACTTCTTAAATCATTGTCCACAATATGCCACAATAGGTTCCAATGCTCTGTGTGTCCCAGAATGCTTTGCTTCTACATTGACACAAGTAAATACTTTAATTTGACCTCTTTTTTCGGATCCGGGACATTACCAATGGCATTATAATACACAAGTTACCAATGACAAGTTTGCAAATACAATTATATTTTTTAATGCGGTTCATACTTGGCGTGCTGTGGAAATGACCCAGAATGCATTGCAACATTTGGAAAATGTCAAGCTTCATTTTTCTAAACTTTGAATTGGCTATTGAAAGAAAATCCCAAAGAGATGTCATGCAAATAAAAATAATAATGTAAAAGTAGTTAATTTTTAATCACACAGGGCCGTAACAGTGTAGAAGAGAAACTGTTTACTTGATTTTTGTTTTTTTATTTATTTATATGAATACAGAACAAAGCCAAAGAAACTTCATTTTGTCTCCATTTCTTGGCTTGAAAGGACGAAACAGTGCAGCATGATAGGAAAAAAGAGAAACATAAAAAAGGACAAGTTTCGACAACATAGAAATAACTCAACAAAGTATATTAAACTACATCTAACTTCAGACCCAGGGCCTGCAGAGAACTCAAGAATATTTGAGGAATCAGGGAATGTACCAGTAACTGTATCCTTCGCAGCCACCCTAGGTTCCTGTTATCTCACTAAATAACATGCAAGAACTTGAGGACAGTTTTAAGGACCGTGTTTAACGCCAAATCATGTTTTAGACCGTGACAGGCCTCGCATGCAAATTTGAGGTTAAAAAGGCCACGTGACATAACCCCGTTTACTGTCATTTCGATAGCAGAAGGGATTAAGACAGTAGAAATATTGCCCAGGAGAGAGGCAAAAAAGGCAATATTTGTACCTTCACAGTGAAGTGAAATTTTTGGATAGACATGCAATCTTCACCAAGGACACCATAAATTCTCTAAATAGGCTGCGTGGCTTGGCAAGACTCCATGTTTGTCCACTATCACAGGTCAAGTTCCAGAATGCATTGCTAGCAAGTATAACCTAAACAGAACGCAGCTGAAAATGACCAGAATTCAATACAGGGGTGTCCTTCCTTTACTTTTAAGCTTCAGTAAGACTACATTACCCATGACTCTCGGCCAGAGAATTGAGGGAAATCTAGTCCAACAACAGCTCGACATCCGTGACTGAACACCCCTGATTTTAATATGACCAAGTCGGGTAACAGGAACTTCGGAAGACTATTCATGATTGAATAGAGATTGTCTTGAAAACTAAGAAAGCAAAAACATAAAAAATCATGGTGTATAACTTCTTGTAGACTGTGGCATTTGTGGATCCTTAATGAATCATGCCAGATGTTACTGAAAGTTTACTTTATAGGTTATTGAAATGCTGCTTGCTTCTAGAAGAATTTAAATAAAGTGCCTCCTGTTTGATGTGAATTCTGTGTCAATCACTGCTTAATGGAACTGACTCCCAAATGTTCCTATATTTACCGATTAACCCTGTTCGGTCTTTACCTTGGCCATAATAATTATTCCTATGAGTGTGTATTCCCAGAAAGCAAACTATGCTCTTTGCATTGCAGTTACTCCTGGGGTGGTTGAGTTGAGCTTCTCTGTAACCCAGACTAGTCCTACTTTAATCCATGTTTTCTCGGATAGTTCTTGCAAGTTTCCCGCAGGGAAAGGTACACGATGGTATATGCTCGACAAAAAATAGGTTATTTTAAGGCATTAACAGCACCATAGAATCAATGAGGATTTGGGAGTATGTGGGGGAATTCCACCAACATTACTTGGTATCTTTGGATGTTGGAGTTCATTTGTCCAATGCTTCTTTTTTTCTTCTCATAGGACATAGAATTAGAACAGTCTGTAGTGCAAATGATCTGGCTTATCCTTGGGTGGGTTGTTTATTTGTCGCCTGCAATTCACATGGCCTCAGTTTTGTGTTTGGTGACCTTACAAAATCACATTTATAGCCACAGGAGATATTGATCTATATTTATAACCTGAGGTAGCCAAGCAAAGACAAATTATTGGTCAACCACAGCCTTATGGACCACTACTTAAATAAGTAAGATGATGCTCTAGTTTGGTTATTCATCGACTAGAGAAATGGCTGAATCATTCTATAGGATCTGATTTGGGAAGTAAATAAAATGCTATCTGTTTAGTTGGGCAAACTCCAAATTCTTAAGGAAACCCCCAAATCCCCAATGCTCTTTTATTAATTAGGTTTGTTTTTCTGAATCACTTTTGATTAAATTCTTTAAGGCGTTTTTGAGGCTGTTTTTGCTGGGAGACTTTACAGCAGCTCTGTGGGGTTGATCCCCTTCTTGGTCCCCTCTCATTTCCATTTCAATGGTGTAGACCACCTTGGAACTGCGAGGGGACTCCTCGTCTGCCTTATGTGTACCTTCCCTGCCTGCTAATTGCTATTTCCGATCTTTGCGTGAGTCCCCCAACCCTCCCTTGGACTTCTTATCACTGGATGGCTTGGAGCTCCGGGTCTGGTCAAGCATTGCATAGAGGATGGGTGTCTGGAAGATAGAAAAAGAGTAGAATAGTGAATTTTAGTTTATGAAGTATAACGGTCATTAAGCTAGGACAATATATAATTTACTAACTAAATGTTTATCCTTTACTTATATGTTGGTGGTCTTTGGCTATTCTAAATTATACATGCTCGGAGAACGGCCAAGTGATGATAATCATCAGGAGTCTTTAGAACTCCAAACCACTTGAGATTTCTTCAGTCTTGGCTAGCTCCAGCAGATTAATTCCATTTTAAATAGGGCAAATGGACTATGTTTTAATTTGTATGACTCTTGACATTTCTTTTGTTCCTCTCGTCAGCTAATAGCACACTGAACAGGCACTAACGTCACATTATGATAGGAGATACTGAGAGGCAAAGAATACTACCAGAACAGAGCAATAGGTTGGAACACCGTCAAAACACCTGAAATATGAAGAGAACGCGTAAAGGGTAAATTGACGTTTAGAGAAAGACACCCAATCAGTGTCAGACAGAATCACAGCCATATTTTCTGTGATACAAAGAGAGTCAAAGCAAAACAAAAATTCCAAAATGAACTTAATTAGATTTTGGAGCCTTGAGAAAACTTGAAGTCTGCACCATATCCCAAACACCCTAATTGTTTTTCTTACCCATCACAGCTTCTAACTGTTAGTACTGTAGAGGGATTTAACACCAATTTTGCACCAATTTAAAATGTCATACATTGATGTTTCAACAATACTGGAAGTGTTAATTTTTGTTTTTCCTTTATTTTACCAAACATTTAGAATCCTAGCCTAGAATGTTCTGTTACAGAGATAATGGAATCTGACCATCGAGTGTCAAGTTATTTCAATTTGTTGCATTGCATTTTATGTTGAGTATTAATCTTTACCTGTCGGCTACGCTTGGAATCTTTAGATGATTTATGAAGCTTCCCTCTCTCCAGAGCACTGAAAACAGGAGACAGATATTGTCACGGCAAAACTAGATATGTTACAATTATTTAAAACATATCATAACATTTATAAGGAAGAAAAAGAGTATTGAAGAGGAAGAGTTTTTAATTGAGAATTTGTCTGGAATTCAACAAGAATTTGGCCCAAACTATTTTGGCCTTTAATTTAAAATGTGCTTTGAATTTCCAGCTGTTCAGGCTTTAATGTATAACCCTGACAGGATATTAAAAGAAAAAAATGGAAAGAATTTAATTAGTAGTAATGTAATCTATAATTTAATTTAAATGGGTGTCAACAGTCAGCACCTACCTGAGTTCCCTTGCTACACGTGCTTGTCTTCTCACCCAGCAACAACGAATGAGGTAAGCGACAACTGCCACCACAATAACCAAGACTAGAGCAGCTGCGATAATGATGCCTAGAATCAATCCTGCACGGGCTGGGGCTACCAAGACAGGATACATAGACATTTAGCAAGGCAAGAGGATTCTGGGAAATGTGTCATATAAAACTCACAATAGCTGTAATAGATGTCATGCCTTTACAACGGCAACTCAGACTGCTGTATTTTTGTTTTCGATGAGGTTATGGCATGGTTAGAGCATGTATGTTGCAAATCTCTATCAAAGGTGGAGTTAATAAGCGAATCTGTTTTTTTTTTTTTTTTAATGACGACTGCACATAGGCTATGATCTAACAATAGCCTACTCTCCTATTAGAGAGTTAATATGTAAGAGTCACTAACACTGGCCACTAATATCAGTGAAAACATTAAAGGAACACTATAGTCACCTAAATGACTTTAGCTAAATAAAGCCGTTTTAGTGTATAGATCATTCCCCTGCAATTTCACTGCTCAATTCACTGTCATTTAGGAGTTAAATCACTTTGTTTCTGTTTATGCAGCCCTAGCCACACCTCCCCTGGCTATGATTGACAAAGCCTGCATGGAAAAAAAAACTGGTTTCACTTTCAAACAGATGTAATTTACCTTAAATAATTGTATCTCAATCTCTAAATTGAACTTTAAACACATAGAGGAGGCTCTTGCAAAGTCCTGCAAGCCATTAACATAGCAGGGGATAAGAAAATCTTAATTAAACAGAACTTGCAATAAGGAAAGCCTAAATAGGGCTCTCTTTACAGGAAGTGTTTATGGAAGGCTGTGAAAGTCACATGCAGGGAGGTGTGACTAGGGTTCATAAACAAAGGGATTTAACTCCTAAATGGCAGAGGATTGAGCAGTGAGGCTGCAGGGGCATGTTCTATACACAAAAACTGCTTCATTAAGCCAAAGTTGTTCAGGTCCCTTTAAGAATAGATTTTGGCAATCAGTGACTTCCATATAAATGCAAGACTATATTTATTGACCTTTCATGTATGTGAGCAGCAGACAGTGGAGAGAACCCTGTTCAGACGTCCAAGATTAAGGTCTTTGGTCAGCATCAAATCTCACCTTTATCATGGACAAGCAGGTGGACGTATGAAGACTTCCCCACTACATCAGGTGGATTCTTCACATCACAGGTGAAGGTACCATTATCGGTGTATTCAAGGTTGTGGAGGACAATGGAACCATCCTTGCTCTTTGGGTAGCCAACCCACTCTATGCGGTCCTTGAAAATGCCATCATCATCGATGTAGGGCTGACCTTTGGCATAGTGAAATATCTATGGGAAAGAGATTTGTTATCTAATGGCAGAGTTTAGGTGATGACAAAATCACATTTATGGATCTGAATATTTGAAAATGTTGTACAAGTATCTGTGTGGGGTTTGTACCTGGTATCTGGGTGGACATATATCATGAAGTCCCAAAATATGTTTGGCTGATCTACTAAAATAGATTTGCATGTTTATTACTATATGTGAAGGTTTATGGTCTGAAGCAATGATTTTGTAATTTCTTCTATATTTACACAGGGTTGATTAACATAACGGACTCAATTAAGAGCATTATAGAATGCAGTTAGTTAATTGTGCGTCAGGAGAGAAACACAAGTGACCCTCCATGATGGATGCATGGAAGTCTCGCCAATATAGATATATGGAAGAGAATATAGCTTACTGAGTATGTGTCCCTGCTGTTTTCAGGTTGAAAATGCCAGCTCACAGAGATATCATCTGAGATCCATTCACTTGACCAGAATGTGCATGATAGGGTGATCTTTGATCCCACTGTACCATATACTTCGCGGTCTGTATAAACTTCAATTGCCAGGGCTGGAGGGAGAACTGTGGGGAGAAAATATATAAGGAAGATTTAAAAAGACGACCATGATTTTATCAAAATGTAGTATTGCATTTTTGTTTCAATTTGTAGAAATTAGCCAAATATTGATTGATCTAGGCATGACACAAGAACTCTGCCAAACGTGGCATCTTCCCCAAAAAGTGACTTTTCCATCCCATCGAGTGGAGGACTGTTTTGACTTCATGATGGTGAGGTGACCTTTGAGAGTTCTTAAACATGGCCATCTAACTGTAACTGTTTTTGTGGAAAGTATATTTGATGTTAAAAACATCAATTTGACTTGGCGGTTAGATGACTTTACATAAATGTCCTTATATCATTGCCTGTTCTACCTTATATGACTATCACATTGTACATCGAATTGGTGAAGCAGCCAAATGGCTTTATTCTGTTGTTGGCTGTTTTATTTGTTTGATAAATCCCAACAGCCATTCAAAGAACGGACATTTCATTCTGGAACTGGATAATTAAATACTAGATTGTACAATGTCATAGGATGTCATTGGTCCTTAATGGGTTAATATTTACATTACCTAATAGAGTATAAAGGCTGACAATATGCGATGTCGATATTATTTAAAGCAGTTCAGCAGCATTTTGACATTTTACGGACATAATTGCACTTACATTAGCTGTACAAACCCCTGCCAAGTACATTAGGCATAGTGTGATTGGCTCGAAGCCATAATAGCTCTGTAAGCACGTGTGATAAGTGCTGCACATATACACATCAATTATTGTGATACAATGGGTGTCACAATCTACAAGTCTTACAGCTGTCATGTTGGAATAGGACATCTATTGGTTTGTCCTGTGACAGGTGACACTTTTTGTCTTCCCAGCGTGTTTTCTGATCACAACAGAACACTTTAGATTTTCAATCAAGGTGAGAGATCTTAAGTTCTTAAAAGTATAAAATGAAACATTTGCACATGAGCTGTGATCAGGCAACACAGTTAGAAATATAAAATGTTGGCATTGCTAATTTAGTATTTTTCAATTAAGAAAAATTACAAGGCCAACGCAATAATGATCTATCTAAAAAAAAAAAGTCCAGTTTAAAATAATGTAGCAATCTTGCTTAAGGATAATTTGATTGAAAATGTGAGCTTTGATGGCTGGAAAACAAACACTCCAAATTCTGGAATTCTGGTATTTCCATATACTAAAGACATTAAAAATTCACAAGACCTATGAACAGCATGATAAACTCGAATGCAAATCTACAACCACATTATTTTAAATTGCATGTATGGTCTCTGAATCTAATAAATATTAAAATCTCTACATCATGTAAAAAAAATCAATAATGGATATGTAATACAAACATAAATAACTAAATAAATGAGACCTCATGCATCAATCGCTAAAAATAAATGATGAGAGCATTTTGGCATATCTTGAGAAGAATATAATTTATACTCTGTGTATAAGGTCACATATTTGTCCGGACACTGTGACTTTTGACATTTTCCCCAGCCATCGAGAAAACAGAAGCCCTTGTCATTCTCACAGTAAACAAGCATGATACAATCACAAAATATAGATGTTGTGAAATTCTGCATTCCTATCATATGTACAGTTCTGCGCTAGTTACTATGTTAATGAGAGGTAACTGACACTTGCGTTCTATTCACTTACAGCAAATATGGAGGTTTACATTTTATTAATTACATTTAAACTCCTGTCTACTGGAGTCTTAAAGTACAATTATATCTTCATGGATTATTGAGGCAGTAACCATGTTTTTATATCTAAAACATGGTCATGGTTTTAAGAATGTCATTAGGAAAATTCTTAAAAGTGTTGCTACTAAAAGAAAATGTTGCCAATTGTAAAGATTACCATGGAAACCAACCTTTTAAACTTTGGACCACTTTTCCACATCTATACCTGTTGTTTTTTTCATAGCCATAGATGCCTTACTGTCTTACTTAATGAATTTAGAGATATTGCTATTTTAGCTCAGGAATCAGGATTAAGGTCTCTGATTCAGAACTGTCTTTCAAATTAGAGGTCTATGAACTGTGAACCAGTGATACATACAACAGAACAGTATAGAGGGATTTTGGATCCTAAAATGAGAGTCCCTCCAAGACCGGCACAAGATGAGCACAGAACACATTGATAGATTAGTAAAGGCCAATGGGTCTTATTCCCTGTCTTCGAAGCACAAAACCAATTCTGTTCCATTCCAATGGGTTATTTATGAACCATTGGTGTGCATTAGTAAGGCATATAGAGGCTGGGCAGTATTTACAGGTTGTGAAAAGCAATATGGAACGTACTCCTCAATGGGATAAGAATGGCCATTTTTAGGACCCTCGCCCATATTTGTACTGTACTGCAACTACCATCATTCTTTTCAGGCTACAATAGGGCTTGTGATCAAGCAACAGACACCTATTTTTGACTAAAACACTGGGCAAAAAGTAGATTCTCAGATTTTATAGAACTACGACTGCCATGACACTTTGTCAGGCTTTAGAATGGCAACGTATTATGGTAGTCGCAGTCCTCCAACATCTGGGGATCTATTATTTGTCCACCACCGGTAAAAGATTGCAAGTCTTTGTCAACTAAGAACAGGTAACCATTTACTAAATAAATGACAGAGACACAATCCATTGCTGTTTAAATGGGTGTCTTCACTAACTGGATATACAGCAACCATTGCTAAAAAACATGGGTAGCTAGTGCTATACCTTGCACTACAACTACCATGAATCAAATTTCATTTTAGTATCATCCTGAAACATGCCGCCTGTACTAGTTAAAATAGGATTAACACCCCTTGCAGTTCGCACTGTGTGCTTTACTATACAGTACAAAAAAGTTTTCTTGCAGTGACTAATAGATACAAGTAACACTATCAAGGCTATTCAATAAATTACAAATGGTAACAAATTAAATCCAAATGGAAGAACTGAGGATAAAACAGCCAAGTTGTGACCATAGATGAATTGAATTTTACTTCTAAACACGCTATTTGTGCCTAAATTTTGAAGTTCTATTTTTAATTCACTGAAGTTCAATGTTTTTCACTACATAACAAGCAAAGTTCAACAAAATTGGGAATATACATAACATGGATTGTTTAGTTATCTATTTTACCCATAATTTTGGAAAATCATTTTTCAGTTCATCGCCATTCACTGTTTAGTTAATAAATCCCACATTCTAACTCTATGTGTCAAAATAAAAGAGTCTATCACTGGCCTTCTGAGATTAAGAGAGAGGAATGATGCCAAGATTGACTTACCCAGTGCTAACAGCAGGGTTACAGCCAGGGGGGTGCAGTGTGTCCGGGAGATTCCAAAAGATGCCATTGGTTTTCTGTTAGTGTTTGATCCCCAAATTCATTAGGAGAGCCCTTGTTACCCTCCGATACCTCCTGGTGGAATAAAGTAAAGTGTGCTGAGAAGTTGGTTTAAAAACCCCAGAAGGAGGCACAGTAAAGCCTTCTTGTGATCTTCTGTCCAATCTGACGGCAGCATTTGGGCAGTGGGCTAAATGCTTTGCATCTGGGCAGGGTGTGTTAAAGGGTGACATAGACTGCGAGATCTCAGCTATAATAGGGCATTTGTTTACTTGGGGACGTGGGCAGTGAAATAAATAGTGTGGACAGCAGAGAACAGATTGGGATGACCGAATGAAATCGTTAGAAATAGACTTAAAAAATGTGTGCATTGTCTGAATAAACTGCACAGAAACTTACTGCTAATATTCTATCTGTATATACCCTATGTGTGCTCTTTTGGTTAGTAGAGAGTTGAGAAGCTGGTGGACTTCACACTAGTCTAAGAGATTTCTTCACCAAATCATGGAGGCATTCACTCAAATGAGAATTCAAAGTCGGCAATGCTTTCAGTCGAACTACTCTGGCCTTTCATTTCAAATTCACTTTGAATTCTCACTTGAGTAAATAAAGTGAAATTCTCCAACTTAGCTATGGTCAGAGGGTGTCTGTTTTAGCTGAAATGTTAGGGTGTCTGTTCTAGCTGAAATGTTGCAGTTTCGTTTTTTCATGCTCAACTACCTGGTTTGGGTTTCAATCACTAAACTCAAATGACACAGGGGAGACACAGGATGTCACTAAACTTGGATGAAAAATGGACACATTTAAATTCTCAGGGGTCTGGAGTGAATGGATGCTGTATGAGAAGGACTTGTGTGCAGGTAGTGGTTAACGTGTGGTGCCCCTTATGATTACCAAAACTGCTCCACCCACCCCGCCCCCACCTTACCCCATCCCCAATTAAAACAGAGACATAAATGTGGTATAAACAGGCCACAGCTTTATTTATATATATAATAAGTAAAACCAATTCAATTATGTTTAATATGAGCGTATATTTTTAGCTCAAAACCCGTCCTTGCCAACCGGACCATAATAACCTTTTGAGTACCTCTTTCCAGGGCACCTGCCCTCCCCCCTCGTCCAAGCTAATTGGCCTTCACCTTGGCCCTCCAATTCCCCATGCCAACCCCTGGCCGCTTTTCCTGGCACGGAGGGCACGCCCAAATACCAAACCATTGCCCGAGGTTAGGGGAGGGACCAGACCCAGCATTCCTTCGTCCAATGCACTCCTTTTCCACTGGTTCGGCAAGGACCATACCCGCCAGCTGTGACAAAAGAAATAAATTAGTAAGACGGAAACGGATACCAAAGTATCAACAAAGGGAGGGAGGGAGATGTTACCACGCCGTTAAATCTAAGATGGCTGAGGTAAGGGAGACAAAATGACTGGTATATAAAGGACCACACCCATCCCTTACTCTAATTGACACACCCACTTATGACACCTACACCCACCACACCCACACATGCCTCCTATCCGGCTAGCTTTCAGCCCGCCTCCTCTGGGCCTTGTGTGCAGGTAGTGGTTAACGTGTGGTGCCCCTTATGATCACCAAAACTGCTCCACCCACCCCGCCCCCACCTTACCCCATCCCCAATTAAAACAGAGACATAAATGTGGTATAAACAGGCCACAGCTTTATTTATATATATAATAAGTAAAACCAATTCAATTATGTTTAATATGAGCGTATATTTTTAGCTCAAAACCCGTCCTTGCCAACCGGACCATAATAACCTTTTGAGTACCTCTTTCCAGGGCACCTGCCCTCCCCCCTCGTCCAAGCTAATTGGCCTTCACCTTGGCCCTCCAATTCCCCATGCCAACCCCTGGCCGCTTTTCCTGGCACGGAGGGCACGCCCAAATACCAAACCATTGCCCGAGGTTAGGGGAGGGACCAGACCCAGCATTCCTTCGTCCAATGCACTCCTTTTCCACTGGTTCGGCAAGGACCATACCTGCCACTAGCGCCAGCTGCATTTAAGCCTAAATCAGCAGGCGCGACCCCCCACCAATGCCATGGCCTGTTCCAGCGCATCCTGCAGAGCTAGGTTGAAGAAATCCAACCCCACATCGGTCAGGTGGACCCCGTCCGGGCGAAAATATATCGCCGCGTCACGTTCAAATATTCGGTGGCGCACCGAAATGCCACCAACGCCGAGCACAAATTTTGACACTCTTTTATTAATTTTTACCCTGCATCGTTCAATAGCCCCCTGATCGCGCGCGCGCCCCCAATAGTTCCTGGACACTATCCCAGACCAAACTAAACAAAGCTGCGGGAACAAAACTCGCAAGCGCGCTAAATCCCTTCTAATCATTTCACCCAAACCCCAAGCAGGCAGCACCCCCAGATCATTGCCACCCAAGTGGATCACCAATACATCAGGCGCCCCTAGGAAAGTGGCCAGCTGTACAACCTCCGGCAAGAGCTGGCCCCATCTCATGCCCCGGAAACCAAACCATCGGACCTCCGCCAGCTCCCGAGGAATTCCAAGGCGTGTCCCACCCGGGCGTACCCCAGCCCGCAGATGGGCCCAATAGATGTATGAATGCCCAATCAGCCAGATCCTACGGCCGGGCCCTGTGGAGAAAACACAAGAGGGGAACCGATTAGCCGCGTGGGCCGTACGTAGGACCGAAACCTCCCAGATTCCCATCTGCCAATCCTCTGAATAGCCTGATCAGAGAAACCCAACCGAGAGGCTTCGGTTGCGGCCCCAATGCGGAAGGAATGACCCCCAAACTCCTTGCTCGGGATTCCCAGCCGATCAAGGGCCAGGCGAAATACCCTGAGAAATTGAAATCGAGATAAGTAAGCACCATTTTCATGAATTAACAGCGGGCCGGAGAAACCTGGTCGCCCAGAACTGTAAGATAGGTATGCCGAGACGGGGCAAACTGCCGAATCCGGAATGGCACGAAGGGTAACCCACTTACCCCTGCCAAAAACGTCGGTCTTGGACCGGCGCAACAAAAATTGCACCGTAGTACTCGTGACAAACACGTCCTGAAATAAAAGCCCCCCAGGGGTCCCCCTGCTAGGGCTGACCAGTTCTCCGACCCGAAGAGCCCCAAAAAAGGCGAAAGTAAACGCAACCAAAAACAATCTAGCCTCCGGAGTTGAAAAACAGACCTGGGGGAGAACCGAGGCGATCCCTAACAGGAGCGCGCCCGAAACCGGCCTCCGAGTATCCCGCACCATCGGGCCTTTCCGCCAACCGCGCATCGCAAGCCTCACCATGCAGTGTTTCGTCACATCGGGTACTTGGGTTAAATTGAACCAGAAACTAAGGCCTGAGAGCTTCCCTGACACCGTAGCTGGGGAACACCCGCTAGCCTCCCAGAACCAGAGCAACCGTAACAGACCCTGGACCCTCTCGTCAGAGGAGCCGAACCCACCGCAATCCTGCTCCAGTGCGACCCAATCACCCCATGCCTTACCATACCGGACCCATGTTGCCTCTGATACCGACGACCGTATCCACTCCCTTATTCGCTCAGGCCAAGGGACCAGAGTTCCGCGGGACAGGAGAGACCTTCCAGATCCGCTTCCGGAGCAGCCGATCGAAATACCTGCCATTGGAAACGAGAGAGAGCGTCAGCTGTGGTATTCACAACACCTGGAATGTGCACAGCGCGGCATGAAACATTCAATGACAAGCATCGTAAGACCAGACGCCGCAAGAGCCTGACCACCGGAGGGGAGGAGGCCGTTAGATTATTAATGGCCTGCACCACCCCCAAGTTATCGCAATGGAAGACGACGCGCCGGTCCCTGAACTCCATTCCCCACAAATGAACTGCCACCACGATGGGGAAGAGCTCAAGGAGGGCCATATTTTTGGTAAGGCCAGCAGCAATCCAAGCCGCAGGCCAAGGTTCCGCGCACCATTGCGTCCCTAAGATAGCCCCGAATCCTGATGCACCTGCCGCATCAGTAAACAGGTGTAGCACAGAATTCGACACCTCTGGTTGTTGCCAATAGGACCTGCCATTGTACCCATCTAAGAAAACCATCCATACTGCCAAGTCCTCCTTGAGCACTTTGGTTAAGCGGATAAAATGAAATGATTTTACAATTCCTGCCGTGGCGGCCGCTAGGCGCCGGTTAAACACCCGACCCATAGGCATAATCCGACATGCAAAATTCAACTTGCCAAGAAGGGATTGAAGCCGTTGTAAAGTAATCTTCCGGAGGGAGATCGCCTCCCGCACAGCCCCCCGCAGATCCTCCAACTTATCCGGCGGGAGGCGACATTCCCCAATAACCGAATCGATCTCAATTCCAAGAAAACACAAGCACGGGGAAGGGCCAACCGTCTTATCGGGCGCCAGAGGCACGCCGAACCCACAGGCCACGTCGGCTACCGATTGCAAAATGTGCGCGCATACCGGGGAGTTCGCGGGACCCACACAAAGAAAATCATCCAAATAGTGAAGCACTGAGTCATAGCCAGACTCAGTTCTCACTACCCATTCCATGAAGGAGCTAAAACATTCAAAATAAAAACAGGATATTGCACAACCCATCGGGAGGCACATATCCACGTAAAATTGCCCTTCAAAGGAACATCCGAGCAGATGATGACACTCCGGGTGAACCGGCAGGAGGCGAAAAGCCGACTCAATGTCGGTTTTTGCCATCAGTGCACCGGGGCCCGCGGCCCTAACCATACCAACCGCAGTATCAAACGAGGCGTATGAAACCCGGCATAGCTCCGCCGCAATGTCATCATTCACGGAACCCCCTTGGGGGTGCGAGAGATGATGAATTAGCCGAAATTTTCCGTGCTCTCTCTTGGGAACGACGCCTAGTGGCGATATTCGAAGGTCAGGAAGGGGGGGTTCACGAAAAGGGCCGGCCATGCGGCCCAATGCCACTTCCTTAGCCAGCTTGTCTTTTACTACCCCTGGGTGTTCAGCAACGGAACGCAGGTTCCGACACGACCCTGAGGGCGAACGAGCCCGATGGGGAATCCAAAAACCATGAGTAAACCCTTCCAGGAGCAAGGCAGCCGCCTTTTTGTTCCTATAACGTTTTAGCCACGGACGCATCGCGACGACGTCCACCGGCGTCTTCGCCCTTAGCGCCCATGGCATCCCCTTTGTCGCCAAACTTACCCCGCTTAAAACACTTAGAAGCGGGGTGGGACCCGCCGCAACCGGAGCATTCGTGCTTGAAGCGACAATTTGCTCCGAATTTACACTGGCCGTCGTTAAATTGCCAACAGCAACCTGTTCTACGCTGAGTGGCCGACGCGGAGGGTGAGGACCCTGCGCCGGCCCCCCCAAGAAAGGACGACAGGCCCCCCTGATGTGAAGCGGGACGGGTCATGATGGCCAACCACAAGCCGATATCCATTTGATCCCAACTCAGGGAAGGGCGCACCGCTAGGCGCTGGCGGAATTGTTCATCATACCGCCACCAGCCTAACCCGCCATAAACCCGACACGCGTTCCAGATCATATCCTGGTAGCAAAATAGAGAAGAGCATTTGTTGGGAGTCTTTTCCCCTATAACGCTAGCCAGGATAGAAAAGGCCCTGATCCAATTCCCAAAAGTTTTCGGTATCTTCCGATACCGAAACTTCTCTTTTTCCTTTTCTGACTCCTTTGCTGCAGGATCAACCCGAGGCAAGTCTTCCATAGGGAGAAGGGAAAATATTTCGACAAATTCCCCTTTTTCTATCTTGGCCCGCAATTCAGCTGTCAAATGGAGGCCCAAGGGGCCTGACCAACACATGTAAGCCGCCCCGTGCGCAGCGGGTGCAACCCCCAAGTCGTGAACCGCAGTGGGGGTCACTGTTGACCCCACGGGGGTTCCGAGCTCTCCTGCGGCAGGCAAAGATTCTAGGAGGGCAGTAGGCCCCCCTGAGACAGCCGAAGTAGAAGTCGGGACACCTGACCCTCCGCTAGTCGCCCAACCCGTTCTAAGTTGGTTATCTAAAGTCGAGGTGAGGGGGGCCCCAGAGGGGGGGCCCTTTTCCAAAGAATGCAAAACCTGTCGCATAGTTTGCAGCAACGAATCCCATTCTGGCATGACTGCGCTAACACACCCCGGCCCCAAACCCTGTAAATTAATATACTCACTGGCGGGAACCGAAGGTGAAGCCATCTGTGGAGCCACAACTTGGCCGCTAGACTGTGGTGGCCCAGCTGGAACAGTGACTGCAGGAGGATCTGCACCAGCCGCAACGTCAGCAAAACGAACCGAGAGCCTACCAGGAGTAATCTGCGAAGACAACACAGGTGAGATGGACCCCGGCCCACCCACCCCAGTAGAAACGAAACCGGTAGGGGAGGGCCCTGTGGGGGAAAAATGGGCCCCTGCTGTAAGAGTGGCAGGATGACTGGGGGGCAACGTGGTCTGAAGTGGGCCAGGGGGGGCAAGCTGGGCACCAGCTATGAGTGGGTCAGCGGGCAAGGCAGGGAAATTGAGAGGGGCAGGCCCAGGAGACCCTGAAAGGGCCCCAGCCATGATGGGGGCAGCTGAGGAGGAAGGGAGAAGTGGAGGGGCAGAGTGTGACCCAGCTGCCACAGGGACAGGACCAACAGACAGTGGAGCAGGCGCAGGAGCAGCTCCAGGGGAGACAGAGTGTGGAGGGAGAGCAGGGGGAGGCCTGAGAGGTAAGTTAGGGGAAGCATACTCCCTGCCCAGTGCCCCAGAACCCCCCATCCCCCTGGAGACAGCCCGGCCGACCAGCGGCCTACTTACCCGACCGGGAGAGCGGGCCCCCCGCCCTTGCACAGCCGTTGATCCCGCCAAGGCCGACCTGGTGATTAGCGCCCGCTGTGCGGTGAGGTGCTGTGTTCTCGCGGCCGACCTCCGCCGAGCCCGCGAGACCGGGGGGGGTGGTAGCCGCGATGCGGCATGACCGGCGGCAATCCGGCGTGTGGACACACGGGAGGAGGTGCTGGCCGCGGCCCGGAGGAACCGGCGCGCGGGCCTGCAACAGGGCTCCTACTCCTCTCCCTCACCCGACCCTCCCGTGAGGGGCTATACCGGGCAGGGGGACGTGCGCGACGGCGCTGATTCCCATGGCCGCCATTAGAGGGAGCAGCCACAAGATCAGCACCCTGGTTCCCAGGGCTGCCATTAGAGGGAGCAGCCACACTAGGAGCACCCTGCAGGCGTACTAACTGTGACTGCAGGTGCCGTCCACCATCTTGAAGGGCCTCAGCCCGGAGGGCAGCGAGGATTGCATCAATATCCATACCCTTGGCCGTTTGACAAGCAGTGGTAAGCACAGGAGGATGCAGAGATGTTACCACGCCGTTAAATCTAAGATGGCTGAGGTAAGGGAGACAAAATGACTGGTATATAAAGGACCACACCCATCCCTTACTCTAATTGACACACCCACTTATGACACCTACACCCACCACACCCACACATGCCTCCTATCCGGCTAGCTTTCAGCCCGCCTCCTCTGGGCCTGGGCAGATTCTTATAGGGACAGTGCATATTTTTAGGGATCAACCACCAGATTCTGAGAATCAATTAGCAGATTCTCAGGATACCTAGATGAATGTACAGATTCTCATGGTAAATGGGCATATTCTCAGAGTTATGGAGTATTCCACCGTCCCGTAGTATGCCTGATATTAAAAAGCCCTATTTTCTTGGAATTAGCAATTGAACAGACCATGTAATGATTTTTATGATGTTGTTAGGAATCTGTTTAGCTGCAATTAATGTGGATTTCCAGGGACAGTCCATAAACTTGCTTAATTCCTGTTATTCTGTTGCCCTGGCATTTGTCCCAAACTAGAAATTAGAAGACTAAAAAGAACATTGCAAGCACCATAATTACTACAGCACAATAGTGGTTATGGTACCAGGAGTGATCTAGTGCCCCACAAATGTAAATCGCCTAATAGTTTGTGAATAATCTGGATTTTTACCTCTGGCCCTCTTGGCGCCAGACACCTTCTTCATTGAGACGTGGAAGTTCATCATCTGACATTTGGCGCTCTTACCGGTTTAAAAATCCATGGCACATAATACCAAGTTCCTTTCTCTAAGCCGGGGCATTATGGACAACTGACAGAGGATTTATACACCTTCCAACATTTCAAATGAACTAATAGGGGTTAGTGGGGCTTCTTAACAAAAGTAACCATAATCTATAAAACTAAAATGTAATTTAGTAGAAGAAAAATGTATCTTATTTACACAGACTGATTTCTAAACGCATTCATAGAGCTCCTAGAAAAAAGGGACACTAGGATATAAAGAAGAACAAAGGTAATTAGGCTCAAAATAGGGACTGTTCCTCTTAACTAGGGACACGTGGGAGATATGGTATTATTTTAGTCAGGGCCGGACTGGGAAAAAAATTAGGCCCGGGCATTTTTCAATCAGAGCGGCCCCCTAAGAAGGCGGCGGGGTCAGATAGGGTGTGTTTTGTCATCACTAATGACAAGCACACCCCCTCTCAAAGTGAGCATGTTGGTTCAATACGCAGAGCCCTGCTGAAGAGCTCTAGCATGAGAAAAAGGCCCTGAATTTGTTTAATAACATGCTTGCCAGTGGTGTATCCTGGTTTTGTGCTGCCCTAGGCAGGACAAAACTCAGGCCCCCCCCACGCGCAACCCCCACCCAACCCTTCCCCCCGCCCCGCATTCTAAATACACACACATACATTCCCTGACAGATACGCATACACTAGCTAACAGACACACACACACACAGTTACAGACACACACACACTCACTCACTAACAGACACTCACAGTTACAGACACACACACAGTTACAGACACACACACTAACAGACACACACACAGTTACACACACACACACACAGACACACACACACTCACTAACAGACACACACACAGTTACACACACACACACAGTTACAGACACACACACACTAACAGACACATACACTAACAGACATACACTCACTCACATTAACACACTCACTTTTTTTTTTTTATTTAACGCCCCCCCCAGCCTCCTTACCTTTCCCTGGGGTCAAGTGGCTGAGCCTCCTCTCCCTGGGGTCCAGTGGATGAGCCTTCTCTCCCTGGGGTCCAGTGGCTGAGCCTCCTCTCCCTGGGGTACAGTGGCTGAGCCTCCTCTCCCTGGGGTCCAGTGGCTGCTGGGCGGTCGGGTGGCACTGGCGAGGGAGCACTTTCCCCTGAGCGCTCTGCTCAGCTCCCTCGTGCGCCGCAGAGTGATGCCAGGAGCCGGAATATGACGTCATATTCCGGCTCCAGGCATCACTATGCGGGCGGCACGCGAGGGAGCTGAACAGAGCGCTCAGGGGAAAGTGCTCCCTCGCCAGCGCTGCCTGCCCGCAAGGCTAATAAGACATTTGCCCTGGGCATTAGGGGGCAGCTTTTTTTGCCAACCCCTGGAAAATGCCGCCCAAGGCAAATGCCTTGTTTGCCTCGCGGCTAAAACGTCCCTGATGCTTGCACTGTGTTTGCTTTTAACGTGTCTCTGGTGTCTCCATAAGTGGGATACCAGAGGACAAAAGGGCCAGGAAAGCGTATGGTGCATGTGTTTGGAGCCTGCTTGTGGGATTGCGAGTGTGTAGAGTGTAGTGTGGTATTGTGTATATAGGTTGATTTAATTTGTGTCATTCCGGCATCACTACGCGGTGCGCGAGGGAGCTGAACATGAGGATTAGTGCTCCCTCGCCGACTGCAGTCACCGGCCGCCCAGCAGCCCCACTGGACCCCAGGGAAAGTGATAATCCACCCCAGCATTCCCAAAGGTAAGGAGGCTGGGGGGATTGATATTTTTTTTAAAAATGTGAGTGTATTAATCTGTGTATGTGTGTGTGTCTGTTAGTGAGTGAGTGTGTGTGTGTCTGTTAGTGTGTGCAGGGCCGGCCTTAGGGGTGTGCGAGCTGTGCAGCCGCACAGGGCGCCATGGAGCAGGGGGCGCCATGCGGCCGCACAGCTCACACATGGCCGGCCGGGATAAAAAAAAAATTGTGGCGGGGCGGAGCTTCCTGTGCAGCAAGGGCGGAGCTAAAAGTGCAGGATAACTGCTGCAGGATTGCCTGCTTTCCCCAACAAACAGTCTCCAGGAACTGCACTGCCTGTCTGCCTCCACAATGAATAGAGGTAACTGTGTGTGATTGTCTGTGTGAGTGTGACTGTCTGTGTGTGTATGACTGCCTGCCTGTGTTTGTGTGTGACTGTCTTTGTGTGTCTGTGTGTATGCCTGTCTGTGTGTGTGTGACTGCCTGCCTGTGTGTGTATGTGTCTGTGACTGCCTGTCACTGTTTGTGTGTATGACAGTCTGCCTTTGTGTGTGTCTGTGTGTATGACTGTCTGCGTGTGTGTGACTGCCTGCCTGTGTGTGTGTGTGTGACTGTCTGCCTGTATATATGTGTGTGTTTGTGACTGTCTGCCTGTGTGTGTGTCTGTGTGTATGACTGCCTGTGTGTGTGTGTGTGACTGCCTGTGTGTGTGTGTGTGTCTGTGACTGCCTGTGTGTGTCTGCTGTGTGTATGACTGTCTGCCTGTGTGTGTGTGTGACTGTCTGCCTGTGTGTGTGTGTGAGACTGTCTGCCTGCCTGTGTGTGACTGTCTGCCTGTGTGTGTGTCTGTGACTGACTGCCTGTGTGCGTGTGTGACTGTTGTGTGTGTGTGTCTGTGACTGCCTGTGTGTGTGTCTGTGACTGCCTGTGTGTGTGTCTGTGTGACTGTCTGCCTGTGTGTGTGTGTGAGACTGTCTGCCTGCCTGTGTGTGACCTGTCTGCCTGTGTGTGTGTCTGTGACTGACTGCCTGTGTGCGTGTGTGTGACTGTCTGTGTGTGTGTGTCTGTGACTGCCTGTGTGTGTGTCTGTGTACAGTGGTACAGTGTGTGTATGACTGTCTGCCTGTGTGTGTGTGACTGCCTGCCTGTGTGTGTGTGTGACTATCTGCCTGTGTGCGTGTGTGTGACTGTCTGTGTGTGTGTGTGTGTGACTGTCTGCGTGTGTGTGTTTGTGTGTGTTTGTGTGGCTGTCTGTCTGTGTGTGTGTGACTGCCTGCCTCTGTGTGTGTGTATGTCTTCCTGTGAGTGTGGATGGCGGCCTGCCTCTGTGTGCCTGCGTGTATGTGTGTGGCTGTCTGTGTGTGTGGCTTTCTGCCTGTGTGTGTGTGGCTGTCTGCCTGTGTGTGGCTGCCTGTGTGTGTGTGTGACTGTCTGCATGTAAGTATGTGTGTGTAAGACTGTATGTGTAAAATTGTATGTTTGCCTGTGTGTGTGTGTGTGGCTGTCTGCCTGTAATTGTGTGTGAGTGTTACTGCCTGTACCTGTGTGTTTCTGCCTGATCACTGGCGGATCCGGGGGGAGCAACGGGGCAATTGCCCCCCCCGAGGCTCTCCCCTGCCGGATAATGCAGGGCTTGCATTGTCCAAGTGCCAGCCCTGCAATGTGCCTGCGGACCGGGGAGGGAGATCAGAAATCTCCCTCCCCAGTCCGCAGGCACTGTGCTGACAGACGGCAGGGGAGGGAGTGAGAGAGGACCCGGGAGCTCAGCCTGCAGCTCCTCCGGGTCCTACTCTCGCGAGCACGGAGCGTTGCCGCAGCCGTTCTGCCATCCCTGATGGTCTCAGTGGTGAGAGTGGACTCTGGTAACCGTGGAAACGCTCAGACCTCGCGTGAGGAACCCGGCGGAGCTGCTGGCTAGAGCTCCCGGGGTCCTCTCTCCCTTCCTCCCCAGCCACATGTCAGTGCCTGTGGGCCGGTGAGGGAGATCTTTGATCTCCCCACTGGCCCACAAAGGCACACAGCAGGGTCGGCGTTCGAATAACGCGGGCCCTGCATGGGCTGGCTGGGGAGATCGTGTATTCTCCCCTGCCGGCCTCGGCCCATGGCCATGGCGGATCAGGACTACTAATTGATCTCGCACGTAGAACTGTACCACTCCTAGGATTAAGTATAACGTTTAACTGGACCCTAGAATGGCCGGACTTAACGTATCCAAGAATAGTCAAAATACTTGTCGAGGTCAGGGATAGAGAATCAGACACAGTGATGAGAAAAAGCCAAAAGTCAAGGATAGCAGAAATCAGGGAAGTCAGAACGAAGCCAAAGTCAAATACCAAAAAATCAAGATCAGGAACGCACTCTCGGATTATCATCAGGCAGAAACCACGACAGGGCAATAACAGACCCCTCCCCCCCCCACTATTAGACCATGTACTAATTGTCTGAGGTAAGTCAATGACTCCCACTATTAGACCATGTACTAATTATCTGAGGTAAGTCAGTGACCCCCCACTATTAGACCATGTACTAATTATCTGAGGTAAGTCAGTGACCCCCCACTATTAGACCATGTACTAATTATCTGAGGTAAGTCAGTGACCCGCCCCTACTATTAGACCATGTACTAATTATCTGAGGTAAGTCAGTGACCCCCACTATCAGACCATGTACTAATTATCTGAGGTAAGTCAGTGACCCCCACTATTAGACCATGTACTAATTATCTGGGGTAAGTCAGTGACCCCCCACTATTAGACCATGTACTAATTATCTGAGGTAAGTCAGTGACCCCCCCACTATTAGACCATGTACTAATTATCTGAGATAAGTCAGTGACCCCCACTATTAGACCATGTACTAATTATCAGAGGTAAGTCAGTGACCCCCACTATTAGACCATGTACTAATTATCTGAGGTAAGTCAGTGACCCCCCCCACTATTAGACCATGTACTAATTATCTGAGGTAAGTCAGTGACTCCCCACTATTAGACCATGTACTAATTACCTGAGGTAAGTCAGTGACTCCCCACTATTAGACCATGTACTAATTATCTGAGGTAAGTCAGTGACCCCACCACTATTAGACCATGTACTAATTATCTGAGGTAAGTCAGTGACCCCACCACTATTAGACCATGGACTAATTATCTGAGGTAAGTCAGTGACCCCCCACTATCAAACCATGTATTAATTATATGAGGTAAGTCAGTGACCCCCCCCACACACTATTAGACCATGTACTAATTATCTGAGGAAAGTCAGTGACCCCCACTATTAGACCATGAACTAATTATCTGAGGTAAGTCAGTGACCCCCCACTATTAGACCATGTACTAATTATCTCAGATAAGTCAGTGACCCCCCCCCACTATTAGATCATGTACTAATTATCTGAGGTAAGTTAGTGACTCCCCACTATTAGACCATGTACTAATTATCTGAGGTAAGTTAGTGACTCCCCACTATTAGACCATGTACTAATTATCTGAGGTAAGTCAGTGACCCCCCACTATTAGACCATGTACTAATTATCTGAGGTAAGTCAGTGACCCCCCACTATTAGACCATGTACTAATTATCTGAGGTAAGTCAGTGACACCCCCCCACTATTAGACCATGTACTAATTATCTGAGGTAAGTCAGTGACCCCCACTATTAGACCATGTACTAATTATCTGAGGTAAGTCAGTGACCCCCCACTATTAGACCATGTACTAATTATCTGAGGTAAGTCAGTGACCCCCCACTATTAGACCATGTACTAATTATCTGAGGTAAGTCAGTGACCCCCCACTATTAGGCCATGTACTAATTATCTGAGGTAAGTCGGTGACCCCCACTATTAGACCATGTACTAATTATCTGAGGTAAGTCAGTGACCTCCACTGTTAGACCATGTACTAATTATCTGAGGTAAGTCAGTGACCCCCCACTATTAGACCATGTACTAATTATCTGAGGTAAGTCAGTGACCCCCCACTATTAGGCCATGTACTAATTATCTGAGGTAAGTCGGTGACCCCCCACTATTAGGCCATGTACTAATTATCTGAGGTAAGTCAGTGACCCCCCACTATTAGACCATGTACTAATTATCTGAGGTAAGTCAGTGACCTCCACTATTAGACCATGTACCAATTATCTGAGTGTGTCAGTAACCCCCAATTATTAGACCATGTACCACTCATCTGAGGTAAAGTCAGTGACCCCCACTATTAGACCATGTACTAATTGTCTGAGGTAAGTCAATGACTCCCACTATTAGACCATGTACTAATTATCTGAGGTAAGTCAGTGACCCCCCACTATTAGACCATGTACTAATTATCTGAGGTAAGTCAGTGACCCCCCACTATTAGACCATGTACTAACTATCTGAGGTAAGTCAGTGACCCCCCACTATTAGGCCATGTACTAATTATCTGAGGTAAGTTATTGATCCCCCATTATTAGACCATGTACTAATTATCTGAGGTAAGTCAGTCAGTGACCCCCCACTATTAGACCATGTACTAATTATCTGAGGTAAGTCAGTGACCCCCCCACTATTAGACCATGTACTAATTATCTGAGGTAATTCAGTGACCCCCCACTATTAGACCATGTACTAATTATCTCAGGTAAGTCAGTGACCCCCACTATTAGACCATGTACTAATTATCTGAGATAATTAAGTGACCCCCCACTATTAGACCATGTACTAATTATCTGAGGTAAGTCAGTGACCCCCCACTATTAGACCATGTACTAATTATCTGAGGTAAGTCAGTGACCCCCCACTATTAGACCATGTACTAATTATCTGAGGTAAGTCAGTGACCCGCCCCTACTATTAGACCATGTACTAATTATCTGAGGTAAGTCAGTGACCCCCACTATCAGACCATGTACTAATTATCTGAGGTAAGTCAGTGACCCCCACTATTAGACCATGTACTAATTATCTGGGGTAAGTCAGTGACCCCCCACTATTAGACCATGTACTAATTATCTGAGGTAAGTCAGTGACCCCCCCACTATTAGACCATGTACTAATTATCTGAGATAAGTCAGTGACCCCCACTATTAGACCATGTACTAATTATCAGAGGTAAGTCAGTGACCCCCACTATTAGACCATGTACTAATTATCTGAGGTAAGTCAGTGACCCCCCCCACTATTAGACCATGTACTAATTATCTGAGGTAAGTCAGTGACTCCCCACTATTAGACCATGTACTAATTACCTGAGGTAAGTCAGTGACTCCCCACTATTAGACCATGTACTAATTATCTGAGGTAAGTCAGTGACCCCACCACTATTAGACCATGTACTAATTATCTGAGGTAAGTCAGTGACCCCACCACTATTAGACCATGGACTAATTATCTGAGGTAAGTCAGTGACCCCCCACTATCAAACCATGTATTAATTATATGAGGTAAGTCAGTGACCCCCCCCACACACTATTAGACCATGTACTAATTATCTGAGGAAAGTCAGTGACCCCCACTATTAGACCATGAACTAATTATCTGAGGTAAGTCAGTGACCCCCCACTATTAGACCATGTACTAATTATCTCAGATAAGTCAGTGACCCCCCCCCACTATTAGATCATGTACTAATTATCTGAGGTAAGTTAGTGACTCCCCACTATTAGACCATGTACTAATTATCTGAGGTAAGTTAGTGACTCCCCACTATTAGACCATGTACTAATTATCTGAGGTAAGTCAGTGACCCCCCACTATTAGACCATGTACTAATTATCTGAGGTAAGTCAGTGACCCCCCACTATTAGACCATGTACTAATTATCTGAGGTAAGTCAGTGACCCCCTCTGCCATATTTTAGTAAAGGCTGGCAGAGCATCACGGGAGTTGTAGTTCCAGCGCAGCTGTGGCTCTCCCCTGGCAGTGACAGCTGATCACGTGATTTTGGCTCTTTAGGAGTGACCTCACTCGCTTCTCGCGCTTGTGTCCCCGCCCACTGAAAGCGTGGGCCAATCAGCGCAGAGGGGGAGGGACTGTTTTTGCAAAGTCAAGGTTGGGAGGGAATCGCGGGGCCGTTACGTCAGTTCCAGGCTGTCCAAGATGGCGTCTTTGTTATTGAGGTGACTTTTGCCTTGTGGGGGCAGTTATAACGGGGGGTGACCGGGCTGCGGGGGGAGGCCATGGCTGTACATACAGAGCAATGATTTACCAAGTGTCCTGGGTGGGAGTTGGTGTCAGGGGCAATGTCAGCCATAGGGAACCAGACTGACTGTATGGGGGCACCCCCCTGGCTATGGCTGGCATGGGCTCCCCTGGCTATGGCTGGCATGGGCACCCCCTGGCTATGGCTGGCATGGGCACCCCCCCTGGCTATGGCTGGCTGGGCACCCCCTGGCTATGGCTGGCATGGGCACCCCTATGGCTGGCATGGGCACCCCTGGCTATGGCTGGCATGCCTCCCCGGCTGTGGCTGGCATGGGCACCCCCTGGCTATGGCTGGCATGGGCACACCCCCCTGGCTGTGGCTGGCGTTGGCACTCCCCCCTGGCTGTGGCTGGCATGGCCCCACCCTGGCTGTGGCTGGCATGGCCCCCCCCGGCTGTGGCTGGCATGGGCACCCCCCTGGCTATGGTTGGCATGGGCACCCCCTGGCTATGGTTGGCATGGGCACCCCCCTGGCTATGGTTGGCATGCCCCCCCCTGACTGTGGCTGGCATGGGCACCCCTTGGCTATGGCTGGCATTGGCACTCCCCCCTGGCTATGGCTGGCGTTGGCACTCCCCCCTGGCTATGGCTGGCGTTGGCACCCCCACTGGCTATGGCTGGCATTGGCACCACCGGCTGGAGGTGGCAGGGGCATAATGGCAGAGACGGGTAGCACAGGATAGGGAGAGGAGTATAATGGCAAGGATATGGGTATTACAGGGTAGAGAAGGCTAAGAACAACTGAACGAAAGGAAGCTTTAGGAACACTCGTGAAGGGGTTAACCTATGTGTAAAAGCGATAAACAAACAGAGAAATGAGTGACCTAACTACTAAAATAGAACTTTTAATTATAATATTTTAAATTTGTAGGGATAATTATCCAATATTTTTAAGAAGAAATGTATATTGATATTGATAAGTATGGTTTGAGTCCATATTTTAATAATCTGATTGATAGCTTGTCAATCAGAAAATAAGTAGTCCTATTACAGGGTGTATGTATCACATTCTTTTCTAACGAGAACTGCCCCAAGTCGTGTTTGTCGGCAGAGGTCAAAGGAAAGGATATATACAGGGCAGAGAATATATATCGTGACTCTAAAACCTAATACAAACGTTCAGTCTAAATAATAAGTACTTAATTGGAAGGTTCTGTTCAAAAGTTTTCAGAAACCTATTCCCAGAAAAGTGTGCAAAACAAAGTTTTGCAATCCATAGGGGCCAGATTGAATGGCTCTAGCTGTAAAATATGATACATAGATAATAGCAGTATATGGAATGTAACCAGTCAGTAATTGAATACAAAATAACAATATTTAAATAGCTAGAGATAGGAGTAAATACTGGCTTCCCTCCTAGAACTGTAACTCTGGTAAAGTCAAGAATAAAGTGTACAGAGTGATGTATATAAACCAGAGCAGTAGAATTAGGATCATCAATTACTGAACGTTAATATAAAGGTAAGCACAATAAAACTGCCTCTGTAGAAAAAGGAAAAGCCGTAATTGCAGTGGGAGCAATAGAAGGGCTATAAGTATCATGCATTAAGCAAAAATGGGAGAGAATGCTCCAAATATTAATATAGCCCAAGTTGCTATAAAATGCAATAATGGTAAAGAAATACTTTACGGGCACCCCCGGCTATGGGTGGCAGGGGCACCCCTGACTGGAGGTGGCAGGGGCATAATGGCAGAGACAGGGGTAGCACAGGATAGGGAGAGGAGTATAATGGCAGGGATATGGGTAGTACAGGGTAGAGAAGGCTTATAGTGTAAGAAGCATGGGTATCAATAGGTATGGACAAGGTTATAGTGGCAGACGAATGATTGCCACTGGTTTGGGAGGGCTGTAGTGGCAGGGGCAAGAGTAATGCATGGTACTAAGCTTATAGTGACATGTAAGGACTTGGGTATAGTGACAAGGGCAAACATCTCTCAAGAGTGACTGATGTTTATTATGGTGGGGGCATTAGAGTGTATCTGATTAGGGATAGGAATATAGTGTATCATTGAGTAGGGCCTGTATTTTAGGTGAAGGGCATACGAGTATGTGTGTAGGGGGGGGGAATATAGTGACAAAGGGTAGGGAACTACTAAATAGGAACTTAAGTATACTCCTTGGTAATAAGACTTTACATATGAGTACTGACAAACTATAATTGTGGGTACAGTTGTACAGGTCAGTATTAAAGACTGTTGTAAGTAGTGACTTGCATGTAAGAGCAGATGGCTCCAGTTACATTCTATTGATACCAGGGGGGGAAGCCCCTGTGTTCCTGTAAAGATAGTGTCAGGATCAAGTGCTGGGAATGGTGGAGATCTGTGCAATCACGGGTGTGGTGTACTGAGAAGGGAATCCCTTAAAAACGAAATCAAAGACCTCTACACAAATCTGCATTTTGACCTGACTTTCTATGTTGCAGGCATGCAGGCCGTCAGTGTCTCCGTACCCAATTCAGACCTGTCTTCTGCTTGAAACAGTAAGTAGGAAAGCTGTCTACCTTTCAGAATGCGGTTTACTTTGAGCAGTTTAGCGTTTACATAGTCCATCATATATTCTGCGAAACCTACCAGTATTGCCATTTTCAGGAGTTTTCAGTTTGTTTGTTTTTTTCTTCCTCATTTTCCCTTGACCATTGAAGACTGAGATTACTACTTGCTTGTTACATGCAATTTACACTAGAGGTACAGTAACTTGGGCAAATGGTTTAATAAACTCTGCCTTAAATTAGAACTGGAACTAAGTGATCATTACTCTTTCCCACACCCAGATAAATGGTATTAGAGCATTACTGAGCTAGGAAAGGAAGCGCAAAACACAACTGTGCAGCTGTATCATTACTGGAGTAAAGGTCTCCAATTCTTTTCATGCATGCGCTCTGAACCAGTGTGGGTATGTAGTGGTGCATTGACAATGGAGGGGGAAAAAAGCATAGCTGGTATAACGGAGATAGCGTGCTCCGGGTGGGAAGATTGAAGTTTCCTGTAGCAAGTGCACTCACAGCACTGCTTCAAGGTTAGGGTTAAAATTAGCTTTTCTTGTATTTGTAATCTGCAGCTCTGATTGTTCCTTTATGATCAACTATAGAATACACTAACATTTTCCTCTTATCAGTGCTGTGCCCATGGGGACTTCAGCCCAGCAGGAGATGGATCGCTACTGGGCCAAAAACACACGTCTCAGTCGCCCGTTGTCTCCTCACATTACAATCTATGGGTAAGTGGTTGAACTTTATATTCTTCAATAATTACCAACATCGGTTGATGGAAGTGCAGAAATAAGCCTTTTGCTCTTTTAAGGTGACATTAAACATTATCTTTTATTTGAAAGGGGAGCTATAAGTTGTTATAATTGTTAATATTTTCTAGTCTATTTACTAAAGTGTGAATGGCTGTGCAGCAAATGGGGAAAATAGAAAATCTTTTTTGCTCTGTATGGGGAACTTTGGGAATCCTGGCCCTCTATATTAATTATCCAATCTATATTGCTGCTAGTGTTGCCTCTCAAGAGAAATTACAGGGTAAGTCTTAGCTGTCAGAGCATTCTAACTCACAATTCAAAGCATGAAAATGTCTTTATAAATGCTTTACCAACCTTGAATGTTTTTATCGGAGCCCTCCATAGGCACAAATGGATTTTTTTTTTTTTTAAACTTTTTTTTATTTTATTTTTTTATGGCCAATAGAATAGACCCATCCCCTGATTATTTTATAGCCATCAGCTGCCACACAAGGGTGGATATGCTACCAACTAAAGCATGACTTTCACATACATAAACCCCTTATTGCCCCTTGTAGCCATTCATTTTGTCCCCCCACATTGCTCCTTCATGGCTCCCATTTTGTGTCCACCCCCTAGATTGTCAGAAACCATACTTGCTTTCTTCGTGGTGGTGGCTGCTGTCGTCATCTGTTCAGCTTCTATAAGCTGCGAGTGTGTTTCAGCACTTGCTTTGAGTTTTAGAACTTTCACTGTTTTGCAGAAATGTACCTCAGATAAAAAAAACTGAGAGCTGATCAGGGCCCCCAAAAGGGCGATTTACGAAACCTGTGTCAACATATTCAATTTGAGAAAACCACACGGGGTCCCTCGAATACTAATCCTTTGTTTAAGCACAATTGTGGGATAATATAAAAGGGACAGTCTAGCTGGGCCACAGACACTGCCAATGCAGCCTTGCAAGTAAAAATACTGCCATTTCTGAGAAACAGGACTGTCTACATTTTGTAATGTGCAGGCCTGCTAGTGAGTCAATGAAACAGCCCTCAGGTGGAAACAGATTCTACTATTGAAATACATCAGAATACAAAGTATATCGATGCCATCCTTGAACATGCTCTTATATTAGATTGTTCATAGAGCACTTTTACATGAACTGCAGCTGAATATTCTTTAATGGATAGACTTATATATAGTGATAACGCAATATAACACAGCAGAAAGATTGGTATCCTCTCAAACAAACCAAAAACTAAACGAATATCTGTCAGATGTAACATATCCAACAGACCCAAAATGAAACAAAGTATGGTGTCTTAATAGCCAGGCAAACTGTGCGAGATCCCTGTCCAATGTATTGGCAACTCCTGTTGACAGGGCTGGGTACCAGCTCAGAACCCACTGCTCTGTGTATGGTGTGTGAATGTAGACATGGGATGTATGTCTTAATCTCTACCTTCTACTCCTGTCTCTATTGATATGAGGAGAAAATAAAATCTGTGTATGGGGAAAATAATTCCATAAACTTGGGCATACAACAATGAAGGAAAGAGAAAATCTGTGTTTAATTTTGATGTCAGCAGAACCCCAACGTGGTGTTTTTGTTTTTTGCTTTACCGTTGTATATTGATGGATTGTAAGCTTGTTCTTCACATCTGGGCTCCGTCGTTATGTTGTACGTAAATTCCACGTTGTCAGCTAGCCCCATTCTATAATTAAGCACACCTGTTGGCTCTCTGTTACTACCAATACTAATCTATTTAAAAAAAAATTATTTTGGACTAGAGCTGAAAATATGATATGCTCACAAATAATGTAACAAATATGACCCATTTGTGTTTGCAAAAATGCTATGTTTTTGTCATAACCTCTAATATGCTATTGTGATCTGTCTAGCCCTCTGGAATGGCTTGGAGAGATAAAGCTGAACAAACTATACTATATTTATAACGTTATAGCTTCAATCTTCTGTTCTCAAAACCAAGCTGATGATTTTTCATGTTTGATTCCATTGTACAGCTCTAACGCTGGAAATTCCTCTCCTTTTGCAGACACTGAGTGGGCATTTGCTACCCAAGGATAAAGAAAGCATTCTTTTCAACCCCAACCCTCCCTCCTTTCTCTTCTCACTGCTCTGTGCTTTTTTTTTCCCCACTAGGCTTTTTCTGCCAAAATCTGCCATTCAACCACCCGCTCAAATACCAGCTCCCCACGGCAGCATGAATAACTCTGCTATCTAGGGAGCCGGGGTGAGAAGCGTGCACTCTGCATCTCCCCCTCGGGCACATTCCTGCCACATTCTATTGAAGCCCCTGCTCAGAATGTGCTAACACGGCTTCACTGGGCACCGTCCGAAGCAGCTTGTGCCTGCTGTGCCACCCACCACTTTATGTTGATAGAAAATGTTATGTTTTAACCCAACTACCCCAATCTTTTTTTGGTTTTCCTCAATAAAGCCTGTTGATTCATAATTAATGATCAAATAAAAGTAAAATGATTACATTAAAATGTAACACTGCAATACTGGCCAGAGTTATTAATATGTTTCTGTAAAATATATGTAGTTCACTAGTTGTTATTTTCAACTTGTGTTTACCAGACTGACACAAATGTCTGCTGCTACCTGGACACAGAGCCAAATCTCAACTTTTTTTTTTTTTAAATATTAACATGCACCTCAATGACACAACTAGTCGTAACTCAATACTTATTCCTGTCTTAAATTTCATCATTCATTCCTGGGTTCATATTTGTTACAGTTTTCCTTTGCTTTTTGCTTGCTGCCTGTCCAGACACTGGGCTTAAACCTTTCACTTTAAGCCCAATGTCATATACACACATTGGCATGTTCAATGCATGTGTATAACTTTGGCATGTAACTGTCTACTCTACTTCTAGCCCCCTAGAAGTTTAGCACCATCCTACAGCACTTTATCAAACTGTATAAGTTCTAAAGCATCATAATAAACCTGAAATATCTATTCCGGTCTGTTAAAATACTGTATATACAGTACTAACCGTGGGTTAAGAGAGAGAGACTTCAAGAATTCAAAGTATGGTCAAAGTTTCAGTTTAAACATTTCTTGAAAATTTCAATTAATTTATATATTGCGGTATGGAGGGCTATATTGATTTTATTTTTCCTTATCATAAATATTTTAATATTGTTCTAAATGCCCTCTTCTAATTACTTATGTTCTCTGTTGCAGGTGGTCATTACCAATGATGATGTCTATCACACACAGAGGCACCGGAGTAGGGCTGAGTCTTGGTGAGACTTTTTCTTAAACCTGGTATTAGTTGACCTATTGTGTATAATGGAACGATTAGACCGAGTTTTACTCTTCCAGTTATTGCTGTTAATTTTGTTTAGCTTGGATTCAGAAGTTTTCATTAAAAACAAAAACAAAATTGGGGGGCGGAGCCAGCTACGGAACAGAGTAGACGCACCTCAGAAGGCTCTGTGCCATAACGGACAAAATAACTGATTTTCTTGGTGGAAATTGGGCAGTTACCTACCCACTACCTACGCTGCACATCGAAGACACCACGATGGGCAGGAAAAACAAGAAACCCAGGGCAGACAAAGCTCCTGCTAGCCATGACATTGGCGAACTCCTGCGGAACTCTCAGAAAGCCGCATGGGAGAAAATGGCGCTGGGGGAAGAAGGATTCTCGGACGACTGCCACACTTTCCACCACCACAATCAGTGCATAAACAAATAAGTTTATAATGTTATTTTGTTTAACTTATGTTTCTCCGTTAATTTTATAATATCTTTTGTGTCATACAAACCTAGCAACATCAGAGTGGGTGGATATACACCCCCACTTATAGCTCTTCATAAACTCATATGGTATATACGCCAGGGACATAGACCCTCAAACTTTGCGGTCACACGCCTGAGATGTCCTGCCTTAGGCTGGCTCAATTATCTCCCTCCTCACCCCCTCGCACCCACGATAGAGTTAACACCGAAAGTTTAACCCAGGAGGGGTTGGCGCCCCTTGGGGCACATAAGGCCAATGGCATAAAAATTCTCCCGTATCGAGATTAACAGATGTGCCCCAGAGGGATACTATCGTTGTAGTTCACCAGTTGTACGGTCTTGTTGCTAAAACAAAAACCCTCACTCTGCATATTATCATACCTAAGCCACTGTGTACACTGTACTAACTGTTTGCTTAAATGATAGGGCGGTAGCCCACTTGTTGTATTACTTGCATGCAGAGTGAACAAATAAAGAATTACAAAAAAAAAACAATTCTAGACCTGATATTAAACCAACAACCGAAAATTAGATCAGAGTTATTTTAAACACATCCATAATTGGTATATGGTGTAATAATTTATTCATGAACCTTCAGTTTCCATATATTTAATATTGCCCTGCCCCGTGCATAGTGTGTTCAGGTATATATGTTAGTTCTGATTTAAGGAGTTTTGTTTTATTCTTGACAAAATATTGCCTTCTCTGGAATTTTTTAATTTGAAGGGACACTCTAAGCATTTAAACCATTATGTATTTGGGTTATTATTATAAAGGAATTATAGTTGTGTTGAGACGGAATAAATATATACTTCCCTGTCTAATGATTCTTTCTTGACTTCTTACCCCAGGTGTGTCTTTGTTTGGGTTAGCTGCTTTAGCTCTTCCTGGAGACTTTGCCTCATACCTGGAACTGATTAAGTCCCTAAGTCTGGGGCCAGCTCTGATCTACTCAGCTAAATTCGCCTTGGCGTTCCCTATTACGTATCACACCTGGAATGGGATAAGACATTTGGTGAGTACATTCTGTGTGAAATTTGGGAGCATGACCAATTCCAATGTGCTGGTGGTTCCACAAGGTCCATGTGATTATGACCATCATTTCTGTTTGTTTCCTTGCAGATTTGGGACTTGGGCAAATGTTTGAAGATCCCCCAGGTGCATCAGTCTGGAATCATTGTACTGGCTCTAACCCTCCTCTCCTCTGCCAGTATTGCCGCCATATGATTGAACACCTCCGGTGATAACACAACACCCATCATTAAATTCACAAATTAATTTTACATATCGGCAACTTTTTCTTAAATTGCCTCTCCAGGCACTTATTTCAATTGAACAAAACTTTAAAAATACATATATACATTTTTATTTATTTTTTTTAATTTTTTTTTTTTACTTCCGTTTATGGAGTGAGTTGGATGGTTTATTCCCCACTTTCAATAACTCCAGTGTAGACAATCTAAAAGGCTGAATCCTCCTCACAATGTTTTCTAGTATAAGGCTAACTGATGCTTTCACTCCTGCAGTGTAAAGTGCAAAGTTAGACACAAAGTATTTTCGGCTCAAAAGGTGAACCGAATCCTGTTCTTGTTAGTATCATCGACCTTGAAAGTGTGTCTGTTGGAAAGCAGGTAGAATTTGGACTCTACAGAAAGGATTTGTTAAAATCACCTGCTACACTCTAACTTTACAAACTTTCCAGCAAAGCTACTGATACAACTGTACCAGTTACCAAAAGGAAATTTCTTGTTAGATGTTCCCCATATTGTCAGTATGTGAAACTCGGACCTCTATTTACACACATAATGCAGTTTTCAAAGGGACATACTTCGATTTGTCTTTGTTTTAATAGTCTAGGTTAGAAAATGACAGGGTTTCCTTGTGTTTCCCTTCTGAAAAGGGAATCTAGAATATTGGGAGACATTTCTCTCGCTCTTCACGTGAAACGTTTGGAGAAGAGGGGGTTAACTTTTGATACAAAATCCAAGTGTCCTAGTAACATTTAATGTGTCATTGCTACTGGCTAAAATTGCAGCCTTTTCAAATGATTTGCCATCTTATCTTCTAAAACTTGGTTTTGGTCAGATGAGGGATCGCAGATAGGACAAGGAACTTTTTTTATTTGCCCTCCCCCTATTGTAGAGAGTTTCTGTTTTTTGCAATGAGGGACAACTAGTTCTTTGTCCAGACTATAAAGTGGGAAGTATATTTAAATTCCAGCAAGATCTGTGTGGGGAATGTGGAAAGGGCAGATAAAATGCTCTATTATAGATTTAGATGCTAAAATCTGGTTTGGGATGCAACGATGATTCATTGTAAGAGTTGTCTTTAAAATAGTCTTAAGAACCACAGATGGTGTTTAGCTTTAGTGATATCCCTGTAGGAGCAAGATTGAGAACCCTTCCTACTCCTGGATCACTAGTGGTTCTTGGACTGGATTGAGATGCCCAGTCTTTGAACATAGGCTTGATCATTAGGGGGAATCCCTTTCATTCTACTGACCAGACCTATATAGCCTTAAAGGTGCTTTATTACTGTGCTGCTGTGAATGATATGATCTGTATCCTGTCTGGTCACAAATTGAAAAAGTTAAAGTGACACTGTAGCTTAATGAAACCGTTTTGGTGTATAGATCATGCCCCTGCAGTTCCACTGCTCAATTCTCTGCCATTTATTAGATTAATCACTTTGTTCATGAACCCTAGTCACACCTCCCTGCATGTCACTTACACAGCCTTCATAAAAACTTCCTGTAAAGAATTATCTAATGTTTATCCTTCCTTTATTGCAAGTTCTATTTAATTTAGTTCTATTTTAATTTTCTTATCCCCTGCTGTGTTAATAGCTTGCAAGAGCCTCCTGTGTGTGATTAAAGTTCAATTTACAGAGCAAGAGATAAAATTGTTTAAGGTAAATTACATGAAATTGGTTTTGAAAGTGAAACCAGTTTTTTTTGTTTTGTTTTTTTTTCATGCAGGCTGTGTCATTTAGAGCCAAGGGAGGGGTGGCAATGGCTGCATAAACAAACCAAGTGATTTAACTCCTAAAATGTAGTGAAACCCGAGAGACATGATCTATACACTAAAACTGCTTCATTAAGCTAAAGTTGTTTAGGTGACTATAGTGTCCCTTAAACTCTTTCCATGACACAGTGTGCGTTCAACATCCTCCTCTACTCGATCTTATCAGTTGATTGATGACAAACATGAATTTTGTTTTTGGTTGCAATCCTTAGATTATTGTGCTTGGAAAGCCATCTATTTTAGTGGTCTAACACTTATTGTCTTGTCCAAAGGGAATCCCCTAAAATTATAGTGTCTCTGTATACTTGAGAAGGGAACATTTGCATTCAAAGTGTTTTGGGCCAATCAGGGACCTTGGCTCTCGCTCCATAAACATTCTGTTGTGCTTATATGGTTATTTTAGAACAGGTAATTGATACATGCCGTCCTCCACTTTTAATGGAAAGTCACTCGACACAACACACCTGTAACTATTCTGTGATCAGTATGGTGTAATGCAATTAGTTCTACTTGCGTGACACATTATCAGGTCGGGTTAACGTTTTATTTATTTTTCCCCTTCAACATTGATTAGAAAAGTTCTAATTGTTTAAAACCACATTTTTCTGTAAAACACAAAAATATATTCTTTAATAAAAAAGAGAAATGTTTTTTTTTTGCTTCCTTTGTTTAAAATTTTTTGCTTTGCTCGTGATTTAAGAGAAAAGGTTTGTTGTTTTTTGTAAAATCCATAAGAAGTCATTGTGTGCAAGAGGAATGTGAAACATACACTGTTTTTCTCCCACTGTTTGTTCCACAGTGTTTTTTTTTTTTTTTTTTAAGTGATAGTGTGCAGAATGACAGCTGATCGGTATTAGGCCAGCCTTTTCTTCTTTAAGAACTGTAATTGCATGTTTTATGTGCAGGGTAATGGTTATGTACTCTCCAGCTGTAAATACCCCTGACTCATTTAAATATGTCATGTGTGTTAAAACCAAATCTCCCCTAGTTACAGAGATGGCTTCTTTACACACTGAACAAGAAGAGTTTATTTGTTTCCCTGTTGACTGTTTTATTCTATAAGCATTATTCTACAAGAATTTGTTTATAATAGCTGTTTTTGTACTGACAACTTGGTACGGGGTTAGCCTGTAGATATCGCTCCTGCTGTTTACCGCTAAACTTATAATCCTGCCCTCCTTCAGCTTGCTCAAATGATGTGGTATAAAGTATTGAAATTAATGCGCTTGATTAAAGGATGCTGGGAGATAAAATCTCATATAGAGTGGTTTGCATCACTGGATACTTAACGTTTAAAATTATGTTAAAGGGCACCTGTCATGTCCAACAATTATGCTCATTAGATTGTGCATACAATTCTATCTATACATTGTGCTAGTAGTTTTGTTAGCAAATGTATGGATCAGGAGGAAAACAATATTTAAAAATAGTTTGTTTTTTTTTCCTCCCAGCTGTCAGTTGATGCCAAGGCAGAAAAGGTCCATCAGCTCTCCACCCATAGCAACTGCAGTGCATGAAGCCAGTGTGCTGATGTCACTGACTTAATTTGCCCTGCTTGGGGATGCTTCCCAAGCAGGGCAAATCAAAGACTGTGATAGGAGCTCGAGCGGAGGAAGGCCTGTTTGCAGGTGTACTAAGAGTAACACCCACAAAGCTTGATGATAGCAGTGCTGGAACGGGGGAAAAGAGTAAACCTGGATTTTTATATTGAATACACCGTGTATCTTTGTAATATTTGGTGTATTTAATGTACATGGGAGTAATATCCAGAAAGTGAAAGTTTGCATGACTGGTTCAATCTAAGGTTGCTCATGCAAGTGTCAGGAATTAACAGCTAATATAAAATTTTGGGCCGCAATAGCTGTAATGCTAAAATGTTCCTAGTAAACCTATGGTTTCTGCTCAGGTATCCTGGCCTAAAACTGGAAATTCACTTTGAGTTCCCAAAAGCTTGCACTTAAAGGGACTCTCCAGTGCCGGGAAAAGAGACCGTTTTCCTGGCACTGCAGGTCCCCTCGCCCTCCCACCCGCCCCTATCCCATGTTGCTTAAGGGGTTAAAACCCCTTCAGTGACTTACCTGTATCCAGCACCGATGTCCCTCGTGCTGGTTCAGGGTCCGCACAGGCTCCTCCCCTGCCGACGTCATCCGTCGGGAGACCTATTGTGCATGTGCGGCCAGCAGCGGGGGGAAACTAATGCGCATGCGCCGCAATGCCGCTCCCGCCTATTAGAAATTAACACACTTTCTGTAAGAATCTTAAAGGACCACTCTAGGCACCCAGACCACTTCAGCTTAATGAAGTGGTCTGGGTGCCAGGTCCTTCTAGGGTTAACCCATTTTTTCATAATTATAGCCGTTTCAGAGAAACTGCTATAATTATGAATGGGTTAAGCCTTCCCCCTAATCCTCTAGTAGCTGTCTCATTGACAGCCACTAGAAGCGCTTGCGTGCTTCTCACTGTGAAAATCACAGTGAGAGCACGCCAGCGTCCATAGGAAAGCATTGTAAATGCTTTCCTATGAGACCGGCTGAATGCGCGCGCAGCTCTTGCCGCGCGTGCGCATTCAGCCGGCGGGGCGTAACGGAGGCGGAGAGGAGGAGGAGAGCTCTCCGCCCAGCGCTGGAAAAAGGTAAGTTTTTACCCCTTTCCCCTTCCAGAGCCGGGCGGGAGGGGGACCCTGAGGGTGGGGGCACCCTCAGGGCACTATAGTGCCAGGAAAACGAGTATGTTTTCCTGGCACTATAGTGGTCCTTTAATTCAGCAGAAGAATGCTAACTGGAGAGCTTAATTGGCACCAAAATGAAAATGTTGGACAAATTAATCAATCGTTAAATACTTATCAAGCCAAATCCATAACAAAGAGGTAGTGGCCAAAAACATAACTAAAGCCAAATGGCTAATCCTCCCGTAATCTCCGCTCTAAAGGTTCCATATTATTCAGACTCTAGACCATGGGTCGTCAACCTGGTCCCTACCGCCCACTAGTGGGCGTTTTAGGATTCCAGGTGGGCGGTAGGGATTTCGGAGGCTAAATCCTCTTTTTAAGAGGATTTCTCCTTTTGGGCGGGCGCGAGCGGCTCTGCGTGCGCAAGTCTTCAGTGACCGGCAGGAGAAAGCGCTCCATCCTGCCAGGCCACCTTCTGGACCCCCAAGCATGGCAGAGTTCTGATCAGACGCGGCGAGGGAGCTCTAACCTCTCTGCTCCCTCGCGCGGTGTTTGCTGATGCCGCGGGAGCCGGAATATGACGTCATATTCCGGCTCCCGGCATCAGTAGACAGTCCACGAGGGAGCAGAGAGGTTAGAGCTCCCTCGCCGCGTCTGATTAGCCGCCCGCCGAAGTGAAGATCCACACCAGCTCTCCAGGTAGGGAGGCAGGGTGGATATTTAATATTAATAATTTGTGTGTATGTGTTTGTCTGTAAGTGTGTGTGTCTGTCTGTCTGTGTGTCTATAAGCGTGTGTGTGCAGAGTACTTGTAGAATAGAAGAAAGAAGGAAAAGGAGAGAATTGTTGTTGACTAATAATAGTAAGTGGGCTACCTGGCTCAGCCTTCCTACTGGGCATTGCTATAAGTAAGGTTAAAAAATAGAAAAAAGGGGGAAAAAAGGTGGGGAGGGGAATTGAGGAGGGGAGCTGATGCACAGATGAGAAATCATTTTATGAGCAAACAAAGAAGTCTTCTGATTATCACCGAAAGAGGAGACCTTCGTTTGTTCCTTACGAAAATCGAACCAGATATCAAATATTTAGTCTCGCAGCATCAAGCTCAAGGATCTCATTAATCACTAGTAAAGGTAATTTCAATTTACTTTATTGCTTCCTCATTAAACTTTATAAAGTTAAAAACATTATAAACATGCATAAAGTAGAAATAAAAAGATAAATGTACGTTTATTTATTTTTAAAACACCCTCCTTTTCTAAAAAATATTCTGCGCTTGCGCGAAAACTGGTGGGCGGTAAGGACATTTTTCCATCAAGAAAGATGCATCAGTGGGCGGTAAGTGGAAAAAGGTTGACTACCCCTGCTCTAGACTTTAATAAAATTCACATGGTCAATGTCTGAAATCGGACTATATTAAATATGGAGGCAGAGAAAATGTCCAGCCCGTTCTAGACTGTTAGCCCTTAGCAAGAAAATATATACCAAATAATCAGGAAATGGCTAGAATCTAGTTGAAAAAGGGCTAAAAATAGAAATAGGTGGAGAAGAAAGCCTGTGTGGATAATTGGGATCTAAAAACCCACACAGTGAGACTGTATCTAAATGCTGTTACTAGGTCTGTCAGCCAAAGTTGCAACACAGTCTCTACGTTGCCAGATGCAAAAAAGGAAAGGGCTAGTCTTATTAAAAAGACTGATGCTGTCTGTATGAAAGGTACTGATATTAAATCTCAATAGAAATAGTGAACAGACATATGACTCACTAGTCTGAGTAACCCTGACCCATTAAAAATATTCACAATGCTGTGAGTGCATCTCCATTGAAATACAGTCTAGAGTTTAGACTAAAAAGGAGGAATAAAGAAAATACATAAATAAAGAACTAAGTGCAGAACCATGAGTGCTGGTAGCCTGCATTTGTTTGATAAAGTGTCCTGTGAAAACAGAAGCCCTATGGGGATTTCAGCGACGCTGGAGGTCCTCACATAGCGTGAGGACGTCCAGCGATGCTATATGACGCGGAATGTGTGCTATAAACCGGGAAGTGCCCTCTAGTGGCAGTAGACAGTCACTAGAGGAGGAGTTAACCCGGCAAGGTAAATATTGCAGTTTATGAAAACTGCAATATTAACAGTTTCAGGGTTAAGGGTCGTGGGAGTTGGCACCCAGACCACTCCAATGGGCAGAAGTGGTCTGGGTCCCTTTAAGTGAATAACCCTGTTTATGTACACATTCAACTTTCTAGGTCCTTGGGTCCAACACAAAAAAATGACACAACCGGTATGTATAACATTTTTACAAGGGCTAAACAATGGACTATTCAAATCTGGCATTGTTGTGAAAGTTAAAATTCTAATAAAATACTTGACCCACTAAATGTTTGACAAGCTGTGTGCAGAGAAAGATTGTCCTTTTTAATTTCATTGACTGTATAGATTCTGCCACGTATTTCCAAAACCCATGTAGTTGGAACATTAATCAAGGACAAATGTGTTGGGACATTTTCAACTCTTTCAATAAAGGGGAAATGTCAATTCCTAGAATTGTTAATATTCTAGGTGGTGAATATAAACAACTGTCACTCGTTCTAAGCTCTGTCCTTTACTTCTGTCAGGCAGCATAGAGAGAGCATACAGAGAAGAGAAATGTTAGGGCTAGGGGTGAAATGGTTTGACATTTGCTAAATCTTTAATATGAATTTAAAAGGAGATAGAACATCAAAGTGGGTGGGAACAAAAGTGTAACAAGTTATAAATGATTTTGTTTGACTTAGTTTGGTTAGGGTGGTTTCTTAAAGGGACACGCATCACTTTAGATTTGAATGAGACTGTTGCCTTACTGTGTGGGCTAAAAAAAAGCAGGTTAATATGATTTAATTTTTTTCCCCATTTTAACTGCTGCTTCTTTCTTATGCATTCCACACCCACTCCAGGGGGAGACACTGATCTCACCAATCACTATCCTATCCCTAGGAATGCTGGACAAATGCATTGGGCATGCCTTAAAGATTTATATGTGCAGCTGGAAGTTCTCCTCACATTGCAGCATCATGACATGGTGAGAATAGAGGGAGTATGATCATGCAGAACCAGCTCCAGTGTCTGGTTTCTCTCTAAGGGTCACACAAGTTATAGGTGAATTTTATTTTTTTTCATTAATGGACTGGTCTGAAACTGAGATGGGCAGGTAAGAGGGAGAGGTTCCCGAAACTCTCCAGCCGTGCCCAATAATACAATCTGACCATGCGTTATAGTGAATTTATAAACATTTATTACCTGTTTTTCTTGCTTTATTTTGGTTTGTATATTTCAGTGTTTGCTGGCTTAAAAAAAATAATTGTCAAGTGATGCATGTCCCTTTTAAGCATTAAACATAAGGGCCCTATTCACTATACATTTAAGTTTGCCGGGTTGTGAAATTGCGGTAGGTAGTTGGAGTTTTCTCTACTTTGTTTTTATGCAGCTGGGTTTGAAATTTTGTAGGTGCTGTTCCAGCACGACATGCCACTAACAGACCAGCAGGTCCAAGTTCTTGTCTGGGGTAATAATTGCTACATGGAAAAACAAAACTGAAATTCTCTTTAAATGCATTGAAGTATTCTTGGTGTTATACTGAAAGGGTTTATTTTTTGTATAATGACTTTTCTCTTGTTCTCAACACATTCAGCCCTAGTTTTAAAGTGGCACCAGCTCACCATACTTACCTTTTCCCCACCGCTTCCTCTTTCCTCCGTTGTCTTATATTTTAGGTTAGAATCAGTAGGGATTACTTTGTCTTTTGTATTTTTCCTACGCTTGGACTTTCTTAGACCCTGGATAAAGCTTGAGTAACTTCTCCCAAAACCCGGCCTTCCTCCGTATTTTTGTGTTATGTGCCTTTGGCCTTTCTGAGGGCTGCGCATGCGCAATAGATTGGCTCTGTTTTGATTTTTGGTATACCGGTTGTTTGTGGCTCTGACTACACTTTCTACGTTTTTCATTTTAGAAGAGACAGACTGGGGACGTAGAATGTGACAGCCAGCACACCTGAGAGCGCTGAACATCATGTGATAACCTTATAGTTTATGGGCTGTCCCCATGATGTTGGAGGAGTGGTCTGAAGTTGGCATGTGTGGGAATTCAACAGTGGGAAGGGTGGGTAGGCAGAACACGACCATCCAGTAATAGTCATTTCTAGGAATACTAAAATGGTGGTACTGAGAAAAAAAAAAAAGGACCCGTACCTGAAATGAGGCAAGTGATAGGGGACACAATGAAGAAGTAATTAGTCGGGAGAGAAGAAAAACTAAAAAAATGCAGCAACGACAGTGCCGCTTTAAGGGTACAGTTACAAAAGATGACAACCTTAATGTCCAAAGCGGCTTAAAAGTTCACATTTGCTTTAAGATTCCTATGCATTGGCAGAGCCTTGTGTGATGCAGACCAGTGTCTCTGTATCCTTGATTTCATCATTTAATGGAAGGAAATTGCTAAACCTTCTAGCACCGTCTCCAATATCTCATGTAGCTTCTTTTTAATTGAAAACACAAATTCAGGGCACACATAAATAGACATCACTGGTTAGACCACGTAACTAGACTCCTTTTTCATATTTTTTTTTTTTTTACCCTTGGCATTGGTGAATGTGTCCAGAATCCGTGATGCAGTGCGTTCTATCCACCCAGACGGAGACCTACCGGTCTTAGCAGCTACTATATAGTTATACGCTAGCAGGTCTCATTGCGGACATAGACACGCACATTGTATTCTTTACTTGGACACAGTAAATAAAATCCCAGATTGGTTTATGTAGCAGACTGTCCGAATTATTCACTAAAGTGACAATTCTGGAAATTCTCTGGGTTAGGGTTGTTTAACAAAATGTGCTTACAAGTCCCTTTTCCTGCCAGTTCAGCTACCTAGGCCTTTGAATTCCCAACAATTCTCACTTTAGTGAATAAGCCTATAATGCGGCACTTGTATACTGTACATGCTATTATACATTGCTGGTTTGAGTATGAAGACTGTAACAGAACAACTGGGACTTCTAAAACCCCACACCATGATGCTTGGTTTTAAATTACAGGAAAAGTATTCAACCCCATTCAACAGCCGAGAGCCTGCAAAAGTGGAAAATTAAAGGGTAATTTTATGAAATTTAACCAACACTCAGGCTTTGCTTTCACCTATTTATTTTGCATTCTTTAAGAAATGTATCACCGTTGCTGTGATCTCTGTATGGATAACGTGGACTTGTGTTTCAGCTCGGTATGTTGCTCTTCCCGTCATATGTCTCTCGTTGTATCCTCTCTCTGGGATCTCTCTGTTGCTGGTGATCTTTGTCTGCTTAAGGCCTTTTCCTGCCCTAAGGGCTCTTCATGGTTTGTGCTTTTGGAGTGCTCAGGACCTCCTGTGCCAGGCCTAGACTGGTTCTCAGGTGGAGGAGGTGCACTGGTCTCCATTTTCTTCTCTGCACGACACTCAGACTTTTCCTGACTAGTAGTGTTACTGCATTTCAAGACCTCTTGTACATCCCCTGAAGGCTGAAGCCAATTTTCATGTAATAAACAAGAGAGACAGCATTAGTACAAAATCTCATGTTACATGTGAAAATGTAAACATTCTTACGACTTGAGAGATAGACATAGATATAAATCATTGCTGGACAATGAAGTTGGCTGCGCAGTTCCTGAAACCTTTTTGAAAACGAGTTGTTTGGACGGTAGGACTTTATATCTATCCTATATTTCACTGTGTCCACAGAAATTGTATTGTATGTCACTGTTGCCATCTAACCTGCTTTCAGTACTGTTAAAGAACAGATACGTGCTGGAAACACGGTGTTCCTGTACCAGCTATTCTGATTTTAATTAAGGGAACCAAGTGTCTCCAAGGGGATAAATCGCTAGAAACAATTGACTGAACTACTGCGTGAGCCTTCATATCATGTAAAGCTTTTGAATTGTAGGAATAGTTATTGTGGATCAATGACTAATGTGTTAGTGCTTTCTCATGACATAACATGCAAAAGAACCGTTCTTTTTAGAAAAATACTTATCTGATATCTCCATAAAATCATTTGCAAGAATATTTTCAGTTGGGGGCCAAGGCACGCAGTAGTGGTTATAGTGTGAGAATTATTCCTTTTGTATTTTTAAATTTAGTCAAAGGATATATCTGGCTTAAAACTATATCCTAGTGTTATAGATATTAGCCAACTGTGCTTCTGTAATCAAACCTGAGACCCTCAATAATGAAAATGGCTTACTTCACCAGCCTATTTATGCCAAATCCGCTGGTTTGAGTTTTATGATTAGAACAGAACATTGTTAGAGATATGTTGTTAACTGTTGGATCGATCTTAAAGCTGCCTTGATAACAACCCTCAAGGAATACATGTGACACCCACCCCCTTCCTATTTTATATTATTTTGTAGGCAAAAAACGTGTTGTATGAATAAGTCCATTTACATGTCTAACCATAATTGGATAGACATGTAAATGGACTTGTATGAATATAACTTTTTAAATATACGCATTTAAAACATATTTGATTAATGATTATGCCCAATTATAGGCACAGTATTGTGTATATAGTCCGATTTACATGACCTTAAGGATGCCAGTTTTATATTGTTATAAGTAGCTTGTTTTTAGGAAGGGCTGTAAAAACAGACCACAGTGGAATTGATTGTTCTATCTATTTGGAACGATCAATAAAGCTTAGTTGCGTTCCAGCGTGGTCGCGCATGCGCACACCGGTCGCCTGTACGTCACAAGACAAGACGCCCGGACCGGCACATTTAAACGAGAGAAGACTGGGAAGAAGTTAGAAGCTCCTGAGGAAGTTGGATCGACACAACACGTAGAGCCTGAGCAAGAACCCTGTCTTTTTTTATACATGTTTCGAATATATGTCTGATAAAATGTGCTTTTTTTTTTTTTTTTTTTTTAAGTGTGTGCTTTTATTACAGTTTGTCTAAGAGTAGTGGGAGTTAGCTGCTATTTTTGAGCTGCTTAACAAGCACCCTGCGCTTTTGATTTGCACTAGACTAGAGCACTTTAGACTTAGATCATGTTGTATTAAGCTGCTATTCCTAAGGGTTTTTCTGCTAGTTTTTGAACATATATTGTGCTATTATTTTATACTTCATTTTTATTCCATGTCAATAAACTGGATGTTATATCTTCACCAATTCTTTTTTTATTTTTATCCACTGTTTCCTATCTTTTTTTTGGAAAATCTAGTTGGCAACTAAAGTGATCGTGGCGCCCTGTTATCTTATTCAGTTGTGTCTAACTGCATGATTTGTCTTATGAAAAGCATCATGAGACCGAGATGGTGTCTACAAAAGCTGGTGGGAAGATCTTTTTTTTTTTTTTTTTTAAATCACCGCATGCCTCACCTTCCCTGTAATGTCTGGACGCAGCCCGTTATTGGCACCTATGAAAGACGAGGAGTTGTCGATCCAGTTTAGGAGGCGCTTTGATGCCTGCGCTGAGCGAGAGGTCAGGCTAATCTTAGCAGGAGGTATTTTTTTAGGCATCTCCCAGGTTCCGACGAATGATCCCCATGGGTTTTCCTGCAAACCAGAAAACATGTCAAACATGCTGGATACAAAGCCCAGAGATGATAAATATCATTGGACTGTTACTAGAAACCAAGGGTGGTCACATCATAACGTGCCCACACATTGTCGACATTTAGGAATTCAAAGTATAAGGAATTTCAAATTTTAGACGAAAACCGTAAAGTAGAATATCTGACTCATCCAACCCAGCCCAAAATGTGAAACCCCTTTCAAACTGACTCTGAAATGTTCAGAGGTTTTCACACTAGTGAACAGTCATTCATCAGTGGGTTAGCATTGTAAAGGGACGCACAGTAAGTTGGCTCTATGCCAACAATAATGCCTGTCTGAAAGAAAGACCTTTTACGTATGTCAGGATTTTCATTTTTTTTTTATGCTATGCCCTGAAATGGGGTGAATAAAAGCAACTGTGCTTAATAAGTATACGTGCGGTCCAGGTAAAAAGTACAGTTTAAATACATGAACATGTCACATTGTTTGACCTTTTCCATATTTTACTAGAACACATTGCTGGTTATCAGGAGATGGGGAAGTAAATCCCAGTGACAATATGTTCCTGGTACATTGCAATAACATGCAGAGTTACTAGAACAGGAGTTTTGATTGTGGTGATTATATTGGCTCTGAGCCATTGAGTGAAGATGCGGAATGCTTGCCTCCACAGGATATTCTCTCTGCAAAGGTCCCTATAAAAATAATCTGGGAACCCTGAAACAGAGACCGGGATCTCCTGGTAGCTCCTAAAATTAGCACCTTGTCTGAATCCCATTGGAATTTTGATCAAAATATCCCTTTGAGCCCTATGACTTTAGAGAGTTGGAAACCGCTATCAATAACTTTGTCTAGCTTGTTTGGTATACAGCAAAGTGGACCTGAGCTGTCCTAATTTATTGAGGAGGCTCATCATTGACAACAGTCTCGGGTGTAATCCTAAACCTAGTATTAGGGGCCTTAGCCTTTCAATGTTGGCCATGTGGGCAGTAAAACTGGTGTGTTTCTTCTGTAAGAAGGAAATGTGAATGTGAGAGGGAAGATTTTAAAATCTGTAGGGCCCTAAAATATATTTATGCACAATTTCCCTGCTTCGTTGTTTGGCTGAGAGTCATGTAAGGGATAGCACATCCTAGCAGATCTGAGTTGGCTGATGCCATGGCTCTCCTGAAAGTGAGAAGAGTTCTGACCTTGGACTTTGGCACGTCTGGAAGCAGATGACCCCGGTTGTTCGCTATGAACTGAGCGTAACCGTCATGGGTGGAAGGTTTCTAAAAAGGAAAAAAAATGTTTTTGTCAAACTCACCTATTTAATGATGACAATAGATATATTCTGTACCACTTTACAATGGGGCTATAATAAAACCAGAAAAAGATGTAAGGAGAGGGCCCTGCTCAAACATGTTTACAATCTTAAGTAATTGGTTTTATTCCGTCTTCTTCCCTTTAACTTTATTGAAGCATCCAAACCGTGACTTGCTAAACTATGGTGGAACAGCTGGAGCAGGTTACAATTCCCATGATGCTAATCCAGCCAAATGTCGCAGTGAGTATAAATGGGAATCATTGACTGCCCCAGCTGGATTCCAACTATAAGGCATCATCACAAAATACAGTACACATGTGTAAACAGTGCCTCCTGGTGGACAGTCAGAGCTACTAACCAGGTACAAATTGTTACAAGAATCTTGTTTTAATAATGACAAAATATTTAACCAGGTAAGGTACATTCAGATTACTCTTTTCCAAGTACATCCTTGGGATTTCATGTAATATTTTTACAGATGTTCAGTCACCTTATTCGGCATCATTTGCAATCTGTCCCCAAAACAACGCCATTCTGGATCCCAGTGGCCACAAATGAGTGATTACCAAATTGTGTTTAATTATGAACACCTTAAAACCCATTATTTGAATTTGAACAGGACTGCTTTCAAAAAAATGGAAACCGACTGCTGGAGATCTAACCACCTTTGCAGTTAATGGGACAATCATAAAGGTAAGATCATTTCCTGCATACAAAACCACATTATTGTTTGGAAAGACTATATGATATTCACTAACCTTTAAATTGTTGGAAAATCAGTGAATTTCAAATACACACATTTGTAAAAATTCTCCAAGTTGGCACAATTTACAGTTTGGCTGGTTTTACCTAAAACTAATATTCCCAACACTTGTACTTTGGTGAAAAAAACCTGTCTGCCTAATAGTTTTTTATTTTGTGGATTTTAAAAGGGCAATGATTGACTAATCACTTTTAATTAGTGGATTTTAAAAGGGCAATGACTGACCATTTTTAATTAGTGGATTTTAAAAGGGCAATGATTGAGTAATCATTTTTAATTATTGGATTTTAAAAGGGCAATGATTGACTAATCATTTTTAATTAGTGGATTTTAAAAGGGCAATTGACACATTTGTGGAATGTAGGAAACCTATAGGCACACACAGGAGCTAAATAATTCAAGAGACTGGAGACGGGTACATTCCTAGAGCTATACAATATTCAGAGAAGTCAGGGGACCCCAACAAAACCTTTAGGTTTTTTGGATTACTTTAAATACGATGACATGGTTATTTGATAAGACTTGAACAGAGACCAGATATTTGGGACTCTAACCTTATTCTAAGGTTTGTGGTTAGATTCAAATTGCCCCAAATCCTTTGTGCATCCCTGTAAAGTTTGGTTAGTGTTGGGATTGCAGTAAAGTATTCTTCAAGTCACTTGTCTTAGCAAACCAATATGGGATTTAGTTACACCAGATGGCCATATTGTGTTAAGCCCACCAGTATGTCGCAGTATCCCAATATTAGTGGGTCCCACCCAGGTCCAGCTTTAATATTGATTAAAACCTGGCCAAGTATGTGACCAAGTGGCGGAACTAAAGTAGAGAGGGTTCTGGTGCAAGAAGGTTTTTACAGTGGTGTACTTGTGTGTAGTGTTTGCATTTGAATGCAGGGCTGTGTGTGTTTGTATGTAGTTTTGGCTTTTAAATTCAGGTGTGCTTTTGTGTGTAGAGTTGGTGTTTGTATATAATTTTAGTACAGGGTGTGTCTGTATGTAATGTTTGCATTTGCATGCAGGGCTGTGTCTGTATGTAATGTTGTCTCTTAAATGTGGATGTACATTTGTGTGTAGTATTGGTGTTTGAGTGAAGGGGTGTGTTTGGATATAATTCTGGAGTTTGAATTCAAAGGTGTGTCTGTATGCAATGGTTGTGTTTACAGGGGTTTGTTTGCATGTTGTGTTAAAGGGACTCTCCAGGCAGCCCTTTTTACTCACCTGGTTCCAGCACCGGGAGCCTTGTGAAGCCACGCCCCCTATTTCATCAAAATGACGAAATAGGCGGGTGCGCAAGCAGGGAGCAATCAGACGCTTCCACAAGCACATACTTAATAGGGCGGGACAACAGCTGACCGCTCAGCTCGCGGTCTTTGCCTGCCCCCTCTCCTCTGCTGACAGGCAGGAGAGAGAAGGTGTGTGCACACAGTGCCTTCTCTCTCCTGCACACGTCAGACGTTTAGATTTTAATACGTCTGACGTGTACATGGATTTTTTTAGGGCCATACATGATAGGAAGTCCCTCTGGTGGCCGTCTGAGTGATGGCCACTGGAGGTATTCCTATCAATCAATGTAAATACTGTATGTTCTCTGAAAATACAGTGTTTACATTAGATTGCCTGCAGGGTGCTATAGATCTCACCTGAACAACTACATTAAGCTGTAGTTGTTGAGGTGACTATAGTGTCCCTTTAAATTGCTGGGATGTATGCACATACATACTTACACAGATATACATACACATTAACACACAGATACACAAATATAAACACTGACACACGCGCACACACACACCTTGATCATACACACTGACACAGATACTGGCATATACACACTCACACAAAGATCAACACACAGATACATAGACTGGCACATCCACACAGATACGCACACTCTCCGATCCACATACACTGACATTTTTATATTTGCAGCCACCCTCCTGTTAGCATACCTTTTGTCTGCAGAAGGATGCTGCTGTGTGTGGGTCTGCAGCAGCTTGTTCCTCCTTCTCCCTCCTTCTCCCTCCCTCCCGCACAGCTATAATTATGAATGGGTTAAGCCTTCCCCCTATTCCTCTAGTGGCTGTCTCATTGACAGCCACTAGAGGCGCTTGCGTGCTTCTCACTGTGATTTTCACAGTGAGACCACGCCAGCGTCCATAGGAAAGCATTGTAAATGCTTTCCTATGCGACGGGCTGAATGCGCGCGCAGCTCTTGCCCAGCAGCGATGCTTATTCAACCCGGTGAGAAGGACTCAGGAGAAGCGAGGAGAGCTCTCTGCCCAGCGCTGGAAAAAGGTAAGTTTTAACCCTTTTCCCGCTTCCAGAGCCGGGCGGGAGGGGTCCCTGAGGGTGGGGGCACCCTCAGGGCACTATAGTGCCAGGAAAACGAGTATGTTTTCCTGGCACTATAGTGGTCCTTTAACAAAAATGGATGCGGCCATGACCGTGCTCCTCCTTTGGTCAAAGACGGTCAAGTGTAGGAAAATGCATGAAACAAAACAGTCCCTACTTTGTCTTATGTTTAAAACTAAATAATAATCAGATATGAAGAACAGATTGTGAGAGAGGGAGGAAGGGAAAGGTGTCAGCGCCGCTGTGTGAGTAACCCTAACATTTGAAATGGGTCACAATGCACAATGCTTACCTCCTTGGAGAGCTTGGAGACATTCCAGTTCTGCAGGCTCCTGGCATTAAAGGCACTCTGATACTGGGGAGATCAATAAATCGATTAATCAATTAATCAGCCATTAATTATTGTCTATTAATGATGTGTTTAATCAATGCCCTCCCCCTTATAGCAGCATACACCAGCAGCTGTGTTTATAGGAGGTGAAGAAGCCCACTGTGTAAATAATAATAATAATAATAATAATAATCTCCCAGTGGCCTCACTTCTGATAGTTACCTGGTTAGCACTGTAGTTGGCGGCCATATTGCTACTCCCAGCTCTGCTTCTCTGTCGCTACAGCAGTCTCCTAGCAACAGTAACCATGGGCGTGACACTGTAAGGCGCATGCGCGAGTTCTACCGGTGTTCCCTGCCTCCAGGAGCTCAGCAACACGCCATCACGTGATCCAACATGGCGCCCTGTGCCCCACGTGGATTAATACAGAGTGATGTAAAGTGTCTCAGTGTGTGAGCCCAGTGCTGCCTGCAGTATTATCAATCAGTATAGGGTTATCATTAACAGTGTATAATAATTACATGTCCTCCTGCAGTATTATCAGTATAGGGTTAGCATGCTGGCAGGATCCTCAGTGTATAATAATTACATGTCCTCCTGCAGTATTATCAGTATAGGGTTAGCATGCTGGCAGGGCTCTCAGTGTATAATAATTACATGTCCTCCTGCAGTATTATCAGTATAGGGTTAGCATGCTGGCAGGGCTCTCAGTGTATAATAATTACATGTCCTCCTGCAGTATTATCAGTATAGGGTTAGCATGCTGGCAGGATCCTCAGTGTATAATAATTACATGTCCTCCTGCAGTATTATCAGTGTATAGGGTTAGCATGCTGGCAGGATCCTCAGTGTATAATAATTACATGTCCTCCTGCAGTATTATCAGTATAGGGTTAGCAGGCTGGCTGGATCCTCAGTGTATAATAATTACATGTCCTCCTGCAGTATTATCAGTATAGGGTTAGCATGCTGGCAGGGCTCTCAGTGTATAATAATTGCATGTCCTCCTGCAGTATTATCAGTATAGGGTTAGCATGCTGGCAGGGCTCTGTGTATAATAATTACATGTCCTCCTGCAGTATTATCAGTATAGGGTTAGCATTAACAGTGTATAATAATTACATGTCCTCCTGCAGTATTATCAGTATAGGGTTAGCAGGCTGGCTGGATCCTCAGTGTATAATAATTACATGTCCTCCTGCAGTATTATCAGTATAGGGTTAGCATGCTGGCTGGATCCTCAGTGTATAATAATTACATGTCCTCCTGCAGTATTATCAGTATAGGGTTAGCGTGCTGGCAGGGCTCTCAGTGTATAATAATTACATGTCCTCCTGCAGTATTATCAGTATAGGGTTAGCATGCTGGCGGGGCTCTCAGTGTATAATAATTACATGTCCTCCTGCAGTATTATCAGTATAGGGTTAGCATGCTGGCAGGGCTCTCAGTGTATAATAATTACATGTCTTCCTGCAGTATTATCAGTATAGGGTTAGCATGCTGGCAGGATCTCAGTGTATAATAATTACATGTCCTCCTGCAGTATTATCAGTATAGGGTTAGCGTGCTGGCAGGGCTCTCAGTGTATAATAATTACATGTCCTCCTGCAGTATTATCAGTATAGGGTTAGCATGCTGGCTGGATCCTCAGTGTATAATAATTACATGTCCTCCTGCAGTATTATCAGTATAGGGTTAGCAGGCTGGCTGGGCTCTCAGTGTATAATAATTACATGTCCTCCTGCAGTATTATCAGTATAGGGTTAGCAGGCTGGCAGGGCTCTCAGTGTATAATAATTACATGTCCTCCTGCAGTATTATCAGTATAGGGTTAGCATGCTGGCAGGGCTCTCAGTGTATAATAATTACATGTCTTCCTGCAGTATTATCAGTATAGGGTTAGCATGCTGGCAGGATCCTCAGTGTATAATAATTACATGTCCTCCTGCAGTATTATCAGTATAGGGTTAGCATGCTGGCAGGATCCTCAGTGTATAATAATTACATGTCCTCCTGCAGTATTATCAGTATAGGGTTAGCATGCTGGCAGGATCCTCAGTGTATAATAATTACATGTCCTCCTGCAGTATTATCAGTATAGGGTTAGCAGGCTGGCTGGATCCTCAGTGTATAATAATTACATGTCCTCCTGCAGTATTATCAGTATAGGGTTAGCATGCTGGCAGGGCTCTCAGTGTATAATAATTGCATGTCCTCCTGCAGTATTATCAGTATAGGGTTAGCATGCTGGCAGGGCTCTGTGTATAATAATTACATGTCCTCCTGCAGTATTATCAGTATAGGGTTAGCATGCTGGCAGGATCCTCAGTGTATAATAATTACATGTCCTCCTGCAGTATTATCAGTATAGGGTTAGCAGGCTGGCAGGGCTCTCAGTGTATAATAGTTACATGTCCTCCTGCAGTATTATCAGTATAGGGTTAGCATGCTGGCTGGATCCTCAGTGTATAATAATTACATGTCCTCCTGCAGTATTATCAGTATAGGGTTAGCATGCTGGCTGGATCCTCAGTGTATAATGGTTTCATGTCCTCCTGCAGTATTATCAGTATAGGGTTAGCATGCTGGCAGGATCCTCAGTGTATAATAATTACATGTCCTCCTGCAGTATTATCAGTATAGGGTTAGCATGCTGGCAGGGCTCTCAGTGTATAATAATTACATGTCCTCCTGCAGTATTATCAGTGTAGGGTTAGCATGCTGGCAGGATCCTCAGTGTATAATAATTACATGTCCTCCTGCAGTATTATCAGTATAGGGTTAGCATGCTGGCAGGGCTCTCAGTGTATAATAATTACATGTCCTCCTGCAGTATTATCAGTATAGGGTTAGCATGCTGGCAGGATCCTCAGTGTATAATAATTACATGTCCTCCTGCAGTATTATCAGTATAGGGTTAGCAGGCTGGCAGGGCTCTCAGTGTATAATAGTTACATGTCCTCCTGCAGTATTATCAGTATAGGGTTAGCATGCTGGCTGGATCCTCAGTGTATAATAATTACATGTCCTCCTGCAGTATTATCAGTATAGGGTTAGCAGGCTGGCAGGGCTCTCAGTGTATAATGGTTTCATGTCCTGCTGCAGTATCTGAATGCTACATACAGCAAGCTCTCACCCTGCCTGCAGGTGGTGTGTGCAGGGTGTACCATGCTGTGTGTAGCTCAGTATAATGTCTGCCAGTCAGAGCCTGTTCCATACTCCAGTGTCACACATTATAATAAAGGGGTGGGTAGCCATCAGCACTCCAGATGTTGTGGACTACATCTCCCATGATGCTTTGCCAGCAGTCTGGCTGTGAGTGCATTATGGGAGATGTAGTGCTGATGGTTACAGATCTCCAGCTCCCAGGACCCCCAGCCAGCCCTGCATGGCCCAGCATGCTGCCCCTGCTCTGAGTGGGGCTGGAGCACCACAGGCATGCTGGGAAAGCTCAAACTGGGCAGGAAGGGGTTAACCTCACTCCTGGGCTCAGCTCTAACTCTCTGCCCATTGGTTTGTTTTCGGACCAATCACAGCGCTTCTCCTAGACTGACAGCTCCTGGTCCAATCAGCGCGGACTTCCGTTCTGGTACTCGCCGCTGATTGGTCCAGATCTCGCGTTCCGTACGGCGCTCGCTCACACGCTCTCCTTCCTCCAGCAAGATGGCTGCTCCGAGCTCGGCTCCCCCGCCTGCCCTCTCCCAGGGCGCCGTGCACGGCCCGGTCGTCAAGGTTCACCCCGTGGTCCTGGCCTCCATCGTGGACAGCTACGAGAGGCGGAATGAGGGCGCCGCCAGGGTCATCGGGACTCTGCTGGGTGAGTAACCGGCTATCGGTACCGGGCCACTCCGCATCCCGGCATGCCCTGTACTACATCTCCCAGCATGCCCTGTACTACATCTCCCAGCATGCCCTGTACTACATCTCCCAGCATGCCCTGTACTACATCTCCCAGCATGCCGCGTACTACATCTCCCAGCATGCCCCGTACTACATCTCCCAGCATGCCCCGTACTACATCTCCCCAGCATGCCGCGTACTACATCTCCCAGCATGCCGCGTACTACATCTCAGCATGCCGCGTACACACATCTCCCCAGCATGCCGCGTACTACATCTCCCAGCATGCCGCGTACTACATCTCCCAGCATGCCGCGTACTACATCTCCCAGCATGCCCTGTACTACATCTCCCAGCATGCAGCATTACTACATCACCCTGCATGCCCAACATACCCATCATAAGACCAAACCACAACTAACATGCCCATCAAAGACCAAACCTGGCACTAACATGCCCATCAAAGACCAAACCTGGCTTCCCCAACATGCCCATCATGAGCCAAACCTGGCACCCCCAACATACCCCATCAAGACCAAACAGCACCCCAACATGCCAGCATCAAAGACCAAACCTGGCACCCCCCAACATGCCCATCATAGATAAACCTGGCACCCCCAACATGCCCATCAAAGACCAAACCTGGCACCCCCAACATGCCCATCATAGACCAAACCTGGCACCCCCAACATGCCCATCAAAGACCAAACCTGGCACCCCCAACATACCCATCAAAGACCAAACCTGGCACCCCCAACATACCCATCAAAGACCAAACCTGGCACCCCCAACATACCCATCATAGACCAAACTCCAAGTAACCCAACATTCCATCACAAAGACCAAACCTGGTAACCTCCCAACATGCCCATCATAGACCAAACCTGAGCACCCCCAACATGCCCATCATAGACCAAACCTGGCACCCCCAACATGCCCATCATAGACCAAACCTGGCACCCCCAACATGCCCATCATAGACCAAACCTGGCACCCCCAACATGCCCATCAAAGACCAAACCTGGCGCCCCCAACATGCCCATCAGAGGCCAAACCTGGCGCCCCCAACATGCCCATCAGAGGCCAAACCTGGCGCCCCCAACATGCCCATCAGAGGCCAAACCTGGCGCCCCCAACATGCCCATCAAAGACCAAACCTGGCGCCCACCAAAGACCAAACCTGGCGCCCCCAGCATGCCCACCAAAGACCAAACCTGGCGCCCCCAGCATGCCCATCAAAGACCAAACCTGGCACCCCCAACATGCCTTTCATAGGGACATCCTCAGTCAGTGGGCAAGCCTGTCCCCCATGCCACTTTCATGCTGTACTGTGCGATTAGTGTCAAATTTGGGTGAGACGATAGTTTGGTTACTTGTTCAGTATGTTTTATTGGAATGCCCCCTTAGCAGAAAGCAAGTCTGGATGAGACAGGATGGTTTTATAGCAGAGAAGCTTGGTTTCTTATTCAGAGGTTCCCATGAAATGCTTTGGTGCCAGGTTTGTAGAAAGCAAACCAAATGTAGGGCAGCCAGTTTAATTTTAATAGAGAAAAGGCTTGATTAGTTATTCAGAGTTTACCATAGAAGTGCATGGACGTTGCTCTTCCAGATTTTAAGACCAATTCACTTGTGAGAGAAGCTGATCCTGAACAGTCTGTTTTTAGAGATTTAGCTTTATGACCCATTTGCTTTAGGGTTAAGTGCAAAGAGTAATTCTGGGATAAGATTCTAAATGTGAAGCAGTGGCTGTGGACACCAGTAGGATGTCCCTGCTAATTGCTCCCTCTTTTACTTTTTATGGACAGTCATCATTGTCTCAGCTACCCCTCATAAATAAGCAAACCGGCCCTAATCTTATCAAAACCACCAGGGATGCTACAGCTAAGAATGTGCTGTGTGCCAAGCCATTCTCTTAAAGGGACACTATAGTAACCAGAACCACTACAGCTTAGTGTGGTGCTTTTGGTGTCTATAGTCTGTCCCTGAATTTTTTTCAGTGTAAACGCCGCCTTTTCAGAGAAAAGGCAGTGTTTATATTGGTGCTTAGTAACCCATCTAGTGACTGTCACTAGTCATTAGAGGTGCTACCTATGTTCAGTGTTTTCAACGCTCTGCATGGAGACATTGAATGTTCCCCATAGAGACGCATTGATTCAATGCACATCTGTGAGGAGATGCTGGTTGGTGCAGCCATGGAGGCTAATTGGCGAGGAGTGGGAAAAAATGACTACCTTTCCCATGCAATTGGAAGGGGGCCGGTTACCTAAATAGACACACACTGATACACAAATTTTCTTAGTTACAAATTATTTTATTGTTTAATTTAGTCCACCCAGCCTCCCTACCTTTTTGGAGTGCTGTAATGGATACTTTGGGGTCCAGTGTAGCTGCTGTAATCTTCAAACTCTTTTTATTTGCTCTGCTTCCTTGCGCACTGGTGGAGGCCAGAGCTGAAGTGACGTTGTATCCCAGCTCCTGAGCAGGAAGAACACCTAAATTACAGCTATATCGCCGCTCTGCTTCATTCCGCTGAACAGACTGACAAACATCAAGGCGCCAGGGCAATATTCCTAGTTGCATGGCCGACTGGCTCTTGGTATTTGTTGAGCTCTGAAAGGTGAACTGTGAAAAATGGTCAGCTTTCATAGAAACTGCTCCACATTTAGAATGTTGCCAGGGAAATGATTTCTCGTTGTCACCTTGCATAGAATGTCTAATGAAAAGGGACATGTATCTTGTTAAATCATGATGTATATGTATTTATTTTAAGAACTACTAATTGAAATAATAAAATGTGCTGAATATGCGTATGTATTATTTTTGCAGGTACTGTGGACAAGCACTCCATAGAGGTGACCAACTGCTTCTCTGTCCCTCACAACGAGTCTGAGGACGAGGTAATGTCCTGCTATGTCTTTTTAAAATGGGGTGGAACAATCTATCATTTAAAGGCACACTCCGGTTGGCTTCTTTTTATCATAGATAACTTGATAAAAAGATGTGCAGTGAATTTAAAGACCTCATTATTTATTTTGCTTCAACTTCTGTCAATTTAATTGGCTCCTAAAAAGATCCAATACATGTTCTAAAACTCTTTTTATTTACCTTTTATTGCCCTGAGTGAAAGGCAGTAGTTCAAGCTGTTTCTCAACAAGAGGTTTTTTCCTTCTCTTAGCACTGATAGATGAATTAGTACATAGATACCTCAGTCTCTGAGGTTTTCTGACCTAATGTAACCATGATCAATAAATATTTTGGAAGATGAGCCCAGTATCTTTTTACTACAAACTCCTCAATAGCTTTATGTTAAATAGCCTCACTGAGTGAATCCTTGGCAAAATACAAACACTCCCCTATTATGTGTTTGCTATTTTTATTTTAAATTGTAATTCTCAAACAGGAGTACGGAAGTCACGCATGTAACTCTGTTGAATCTAGTATCAGTCATAAACATTTTAATACGAAAAAATATTTCCAACCGGCCTTGAAATGTCACGTCTTATTCTCATAGTCAGGTTATAAAGGTGACTCCCGACTACAAGCTTGGAGAGTGAATGGCTAGTAAAATTTTGAGTTCTGGTTCTAAATCAGCGGAAAATCGGGCAGGTCCATACTGCAAATATTGTAGAGTGTAAAGTTAATTTTTCTGTGTGTGTGTGACAGTATTTTAGCTACAGTGACATTTTGATATATGCTGTATATTCTGTCTATCCATCAGGTGGCTGTTGACATGGAATTTGCCAAGAACATGTACGAACTTCACAAGAAGGTTTCTTCCACGGAGCAGATCTTGGGCTGGTAATTATTTTTATTATATTTGTTGCAGTGACATGTACTTCCTGGTAAATGTGGTTTGTAGAAGAACTATCTGCATATAATCTATGGAGAAATGATACAGGAGAGAGTCTTTCTGATCATATAGCAATCACTGGGCGGGGGCATTTAGGGTGATACTGACCACTTGATGTCATCTGGATCTATGGTTTCTGCTGTAACATCAGAAATCGTTGTGATCGCTCCTCCTATCAGGATGCTCCCCTAGGTTTCTATGGTAGGGATGTTCATACCCCACAATGCTGTGCTCAATTATGGATTCACAAATGTACCTTCTTTCTGCTTCTTGTATTTATATATTTATTCGGGAGTCTCCCATATAAAACATTGGGTGAGTGTATGTTTCCCATAAACCCCTTCTCAAAACGTTTCTGGGATTCCGAGGTCTGTGTTCAGTTTGTCAGGTGCTTGTGCACTTTCCTCTTTTTTAATTTTAATATATGTTGATCTGCAAAAATCAGGACCATTTCCAGATTTTTGCTATAATATACTATTTTTTTTTATTTTTTTATTCTTTCTCTACTCAATGAACAGATTTATTTCTGTCTTGTATTTACGGCATTCTGCATACACTGTTCTTTGTGTTAATCCTTGGCAAAAATTCCCACAATGCATTTCTCTGCATGGCTGTTTTACTGTAATTGGTTACCATCCTTGTTCTTTCCAGGTACGCCACAGGAAATGACATCACAGAACATTCCGTGCTGATCCACGAGTATTACAGCCGTGAAGCAAACAACCCCATCCATATGACAGTGGACACAAGCTTACAGAACGGACGAATGAGCATTAAGGCCTATATCAGGTGAGCTGAATTGAATAACTTGAAAACAAAGACCATTGAGTAAGACGCAGGTTTGTGTTTATTTTCTGGGTTAAAGTTTTTGTGTAGACACGAGTATCATAACCATAACAGCCGGCTGTAGTGGTCTTGAAGCCAGGAGTTGCCCTTACATCACCCCACAGTAAATAGTCAAACAGTCTTAATACAGGTTTTCATCTTATCTGCATCCTGCTGAGCGCTCTTGGCTGCAACTTTTGATTCGGACTTTTCCTTTTTTTGAGGGAAGCACAGGATTCTTGGTCTGTTCTCACTGGTTGAGAGCCTCAGCCAATGAACACAGTCCATATTAGCTGTGCAGGAGCCCGGGGTACGCTGGTTAGTTCTTTGTTTTTAAAACTGTTTGACAAATTTGTGCTGGGATGATGCCCATGTGTTCCCGGCACCACATCCAATACAGCAGGGTGTAATGGTTATTGTGCTTGGTGATCCTGTAATTAAAACAGCTTATTCATTAGTGCCCCATCTTCAAGTTCTGAGATTTCTGCTTGTTTTCTAGCTAGAACAATCGTCCTGATGGGTAACGAGTAAAAAATGATTTAAGATAAAGAATGAATGTACATTTTTTTTCTTTTCTCCTGTGTAGCACACCAATGGGTGTTCCTGGAAAAACAATGGGAGTAATGTTCACCCCACTTACCGTACAATATGTCTATTACGACACAGAGCGAATAGGAGGTAAGTCATGTATACCACACTTAACGTTTCCTTTGCTATAATGTTTGTGTGAGATGTTTGCAGTAAATTAAAATATTTGCTGTTTCTTTCTTTTTTAGTTGACCTGATTACAAAAACTTGCTTCAATCCCAACCGTTCCATTGGGCTGACATCTGACCTGCAGCAAGTGGGATCAGCGGGCAATCGCCTCCAGGATTCCTTGTCTTCGGTGATCCAGTATGCAGAGGATGTGCTGGTAAGTGTATCTGTAGTGTCTTCCGTTCCAGTAACTCTGAGCCCTATTGGTCGGCACTGAATTATAGTAATGGTAGTACAGCTGCTTGACATTGATGGATAAATGTATTACTCTGTAATTTGTAGTCTGGAAAGGTTACTGCTGACAACAACGTTGGACGTTACTTGATGGATCTCGTAAACCAAGTACCTAAAATATCTCCAGAAGATTTTGAATCCATGCTGAACAGCAATATTAATGTAAGTAGAATTTATTTTGCTCCATGTCTCCTATACTCACATGTTAATCCTCTGGGCCTATACACAGAATGTTATCTGTATGTTGTATAGAAGGATTTTGTTTGTTTTTTCCACTCCATAGCTCTACCTTTAATTCTGTCGCATCGTTCACTCTATCAAAGCTTTGTCTTTTAATATAATTGTGGTGCAGGGTTAAAGTACCACCGTGTGTGTGTTTGTAGAATATGTTGTACTTTAACACCTTAAGGACCAAACTTCTGGAATAAAAGGGAATCATGACATGTCACACATGTCATGTGTCCTTAAGGGGTTAAAGGGGCAGTTTAGTCTATGTTAACAACTTTAGCTCATTAAAGCAGTTTTTGTGTATAGATCATGCCCTTGCCATCTCCCTGTTCAATTCTCTGCCATTTAGGAGTTAAATCTTGTTTTTGCAGCACTAGTCACACCTCCCTGCATGTGACTTGCACATCCTTCCTAAACACTTCCTGTAAAGTCATCTAATATTTAAACTTTATTGCAAATTCTGTTTAATTTTAGAATTTATCTCCTGCAATGATAATGGCTTACTAGACTTTGCAGGAGATTCCTGTATGTAATTTAAGGTTTAATTTACAGAGCAGGAGTCCTAGCCAGCGGAGGTGTGGCTAGGGCTGAATAAACCAAAACCAAAGTGACTTAACTCCTAAATGGCAGAAAATTAAGTAGTAAGAATGCAGGGGCAAAATCTATACACCAAAACGGCTTCATTAAACTAAAGTTGAATTGGAGACTATAACGCCTCTTTAATGAGGGACACTTTGTAGAGATTTTATTTTTGTTAGCCATTACACTGCATTTGAAATCTCTAACTACTATGATTCTTGGCATAATGAATAGTAAGTTTGAAATGTATTTCTCCATACTCTTTGGATAGATTAAACAAAGTTTATGCTTAGTCTTAATTGTTTAAATATCTCCTTTAACATGTTTCATTTTGTCTCCTATTCAGGATCTTCTGATGGTCACCTATCTGGCTAATTTGACACAGGCACAGATCGCCCTGAACGAGAAACTTCTCAATTTATAATGGACTAAATGAACATATTTTGCAGCTCTGAGGTTGCTGGTGGCATATTGGCCTGTATTTAAAAGTCGACCCTCATGGGTTCATCTCTTTGTATTATGTTAACAAATTTTCCAGAGTTTATTTCCACCCTAAATAAAACTTCACTTTGAAAGTAATTTGTGTTAGAGAACTCTGTCATGAAACTATAAATTAATGGAATCTTTTCTACTCTGGGACTACATTGGTAAGTGCGGTGCTTCTAAAAGGGACCAAAGATTCTTTCTGCATTTTGTATACTTTGAAGCGATCATAGTTCTCACCAAACCAGGAAGCGACTCTGCCAATCCAGTGCTTGTGTACATTTCACTGCAGTATATAGGACATCATCTTCTCTTATTTCCTGTCCTTGCCTTGCAGTCGAGAAACCTAGCTACGTTAATTATAGAAGGTCTAAATGTTATGACTTATCAGCTAGCATTTTCAATATATAGGTACACAGTAAGAGTTCAGATTGTCTCCTACTGTAGAACACATCAAATCACAACTTCAGTGAATGGAGAGTAACTGGGTTAACAGGTGTGTTTAATATTAGACAAATTTATTGTGCATAAAATAGAGCATTTTATAGAAGACATGCAGTATAAACAGTAACGTAAAGGTACACTATAGGGTCAGGAATACAACATGTATTTCTGACCCTATAGCGTTACAAACACTATTTAGGCCCATTACCCCCATTAGGATAGGAGAGTTGTTAACGGAGTATATTCAAAGCAAGGTCTTGTTACCAGCGGGGTATCTCAGGGATCTGTACTTGGACCCATTCTCTTTAATATTTCTATTAGTGATCTTACAGAAGGTCTTGATGGTAAGGTATGTCTTTTTGCTGATTATACTAAGATATGTAACAGGGTTGATGTTCCAGGAGCGATAAGCCAAATGGCAAATGATTTAGGTAAACTAGAAAAATGGTCAGAATTGTGGCAACTGACATTTAATGTGGATAAGTGCAAGATAATGCATCTTGGATGTAAAAACCCAAGGGCAGAGTACAGAATATTTGATAGAGTCCTAACCTTGACATCTGAGGAAAGGGATTTAGGGGTGATTATTAATGATGACTTAAAGGTAGGCAGACAATGTAATAGAGCAGCAGGAAATGCTAGCAGAATGCTTGGTTGTATAGGGAGAGGTATTAGCAGTAGAAAGAGGGTGCTCATGCCATTGTACAGAACACTGGTGAGGCCTCACTTGGAGTATTGTACGCAGTACTGGAGACCGTATCTTCAGAAGGATATTGATACCTTAGGGAGAGTTCAGAGAAGGGCTACTAAACTGGTTCATGGATTGCGGGATAAAACTTACCAGGAAAGGTTAAAGGATCTTAACATGTATAGCTTGGAGGAAAGACGAGACAGGGGGGATATGATAGAAACATTTAAATATATAAAGGGAATCAACACAGTAAAGGAGGAGACTATATTTAAAAGAAGAAAAAAACTACCACACAAGAGGACATAGTCTTAAATTAGAGGGACAAAGGTTTAAAAATATCAGGAAGTATTACTTTACTGAGAGAGTAGTGGATGCATGGAATAGCCACCCAGCTGAAGTTTGCAGAAGTTAACACAGTGAAGGAGTTTAAGCATGCGTGGGATAGGCATAAGGCTATCCTAACTAAGATAAAGCCAGGGACTAATGAAAGAATTAAAAAAATTAGGCAGATTAGATGGGCCCGATGGTTGGTTCTTATCTGCCGTCACATTCGATGTTTCTATGTTTCTCCTTGGCTGAGATCATAAGAATTGATCTAAGCCAATCCGATGCTTTCCTATGGGAAAGTATTGGTTTGGCTGCAATCGTCAATTCTTTTGATCTCAGCCAAGAAAGCTGGACAGTGGTGGAACCAAATGCCACCCTAGCCAATCAGCATCTCCTTATAGAGATGGAATGAATCAATGCATTTCTATACAGAAAGTTCTGCATGGAGACGCTGAACATCAGAGTGACTGCCACTGGAGGTGTACCTAGGGAACAATGTAAACACTGCCTTTTCTCTGAGATTTGGGATGGAGAGTGTTTGTCACAAATTCTGTGGACATCTTCTGATTCCAATGTGGGAGGCATGGAGGGCTGGGTAAATAAGATATCGGACAATTTAAAATAATTTTTGTACCAACACCTTTTTGTACCAACCAGATACGGTTGTTCAACTTAATCTACTCCCCCCTATACTTTACTATAGTCTACAATCCACTTGTTTTTTTCAGCTGCTCAGTTCCTACTCTGACAGACACTGGCACTGTACTTTCGTTGTGCATTGTAAATCGCATGTACACATCTGTTTACAAGATGTAGTTTGACCCCTCATTATCAGATAGGTACTGGATGGCATATAGGTTGGTTTGTGCAATCATACGCTTAAATATGTCATCCAACCTAAAAGGCATAAAATTGACTGGCTCATTTACAATACCTTGGGCTGTCTTCTTTTGCAATCGGTATGCCATCATGGGTTCCATAAACGAGACAGAAGAGACAACTATATAAGGCACGACGCAGCTGTTGTTGGATCAACAGCAAAAACCAAATGTGAGGAAGGCTGAACTTGATGGACACGTCTCTTTTCAGCCGATGTAACTAACAGAAAGGTGACAACAGCAGATGTGCCGAAAGGCAATTAAGTATTGTGCGTTCCACAAACAATTAAAAAGCCTGGAAACTTCAATTAAAAGGATATTTAACCCCTTAAGGACCAAATTTCTGGAATAAAAGGGAATCATGACGTCACACATGTCATGTGTCCTTAAGGGGTTAAGGAACTTTAATACATAAAAATTTTAATCTGCATTCTACCAACTGAGGAAACCAGGGATTGTTGAAGACTTCTACAAGTCATATTTGATACCCAATTGTTTTTTTTAAATTGTATTGATTTTGTTTCACTTTTTTGATTTAATAAATGATCTACTACCACTCTTTACATGGCGTTCTTGATTATCCAGGGTGAAGGAGACCCTATAAATGTGCGATCATCCACCAGACCGTCAAAGGAACAAAAAGAGGGATTTGGATCTCTCTCAATATCCACCAGAACAAAGTGTTACTTGTGAGTACTACATATCACTTCTACTATTATTTATATTGTTTATACTTATTTGCACTATTATCCTTCTGATCAATTTTACAGATAATTTATACTGAAATACGTGTGTGTGTATTTATTATATCCATCACATTTTCATAGCTCCAACCCATTGTGTATTGTTCTTTAATTATTTCGATATGCTGAAAGGAAGTTAGTGATGGGCTCTGCATCCAAGAGCTTACAATCTACTTAAAATGACGTGCCTCACTTGATGTTTTGTTAGTTTATGGTGCCTTGGTGATATAATTACAGATTAGAATGGGTCGGGTAGGTTATAATGCACAGGTGATATCAATTGAAGGAAAAGGGTTAATGATTGCGCTTGACAGCTAATGTTATTGTGGTTTTAGACTGGCGATGCCAGCCAGGTGTTATTGCTGATTGGAAGAAAGCAAGCCAGGGAAGGGTTAATGATTGAGTTTGAGCAGCCAGCAAGGGTTAACGTGGTACTCGGCACACCTTATTAGCAGGTGATATCTATTACTTATTGGAATTGGCAGCGCATCAGAAAGGGTTAATGATTGGTCAGTGCAGCCAGAAGAGAGTTAATGCATCTCTGGACCCAGGTGTTATTGATTTCTGATTGGAAGGGGGTGGAGACCAGATCTATAAATCAAATCCACCCATGGTGGGTGGGTATGCGGTGTGTGAGGAGGGGGACGTTTACTTTGTGTCCATCATTCATTACCTGTGTGTTGCAGGACAGGATCCTCCCAGAGTGTGTCTGTATGTTTCAGGTAAGAAACTTTACTTTCTTTTAGTAGTTACATGGTCTGACAGGAGTGTTTTATTAACTGTTTATGTGCCAAAAGGGTGTTACCGTAACTGTATGTGTGCCAGATGGTTGCAATAGTTAACTGTGTGTGTGCCAGAGAGGCAGACACTAAGCTATTAACTGTTTGTGTGCCAGGAAGAAGTGAAGTTTTAACTGTTTGTTTGCCAGGAGTGGAGAGAGAAATTTTATAGTAAAAGTTTCTGGTTATTCATTTAAAGTGTGAATTTAAAATTTAATGTCAAAATAACCTAACTGGAATAATTCTGCTATGATTTCAGTTTGGTTACTATTGCCTTAAATGAACACTATAGGGTCAGAAACACATATGTATTACTGACCCTATAGTGTTAAAACCACCATCTGTCCCCTGTAAATAAAGTAAAAATGTTACTTCTGTTGCTGCCAGCTCTGCCCCTAATCTGCCTGCTTGGCTGACCTCATCAGAAGTGGTGATCTTAGCCAATCACAATGTTTTCACATAGGATTGGCTGAGACTGTCAAGGAGGCAGAGTCAGCACAAGCCAAACACAGGCCTGGCCAATCAGCATCTCCTCATAGAGATTAATTGAATCGGTGCATCTCTATGAGGAAAGTTTAGTGTCTCCATGCAGACAGTGGAGACACTGAATGTCAGTCACACTGTGCAGCACTGACCCAGGATGCACCTCTAACAGCCATCTGAGGAGTGGCCAGTGAAGTTATCACTAGGCTGTAATGTAAACACTGCATTTTCTCTGGAAAGAAAGCGTTTACAGCAAAAAGCCTGAAGGGAATGATTCTACTCACCAGAACAAATACAACAAGCACTAGTGTTTTGAGGGACTAGTGACCCTTTAAATTTGAAATTCACTTTGAATTCTCACTTTAGAATATAACCCAGTTTGTGAGCCAGATGGGATCTTAAAACTAGCTATTGGCTCTGGGAGAAATAGCCCTTGTTTTCTCACCATCAGCCCTGTGTAGGTGATGCTAATCAGGAGTGTTTTATGACTGGAAGAATACTACAAGTCTGTCCAGGGAAGTGTCTATTATTTACACAGGTCAGTCCTTCCACTAGAAGTTGATCTGAAATGTATGCAGCAGGTGTGCACCGAAATCATGGCTTTCCTGCCTTGTGATGTGTGCTTCAGAAGTGTCACTAGAGGTGGTGTGCTCCCAGACTGTGCAGAGGATGGGTGACTTCTACTGTCAGAGCATGACAATCCAAGAGTTACGAATGTTCCTTCAGATAGGGCATGAAAGTGCTTCCCTACAGTTTATAGAATTCATATGGTCCTACTCGGGGACGGACTGACAGCCTTCTGGGCCCCCGGGTAACATTATATCCTGGGCCCTTTGAAGACCAAATATTAATTATTAAAAGGGACTTTATAGTCACCAGAACAACTACAGATTAATGTAATGGTTCTGATGTCCACAGTTAATCCTCGCAGGCTTTTTAATGTAAACAGTGCCTTTTTTTTTTTATAAAAAAGGCAGTGTTTACATTACTGCCTAGGAACACCTCTAGTGGGAGGCATGAAGACTTAAACGCTTTATTATGCGTCTACCTGGTGGTGTTTGCTGGTTCTTAGGAATTCTGGGTAAACATTGAGTGGCATTGATTCAATGTATCTCTGAGGAGATGCTGATTAGTGCAGTGCAGTGTTTAGCTGCGCATGCACAATAGCCTCCCAATGCTTTCCTATGGGAAAGTACTGGATTGGCTTAGATCAGGGCTTGACAAATTTGTTTGAAATCTAGGAGCCAGCTAGAAAAGTAAGGAGCCAGTCATTTTAAACAAGCAAATTTTTTTCAAATGCAATTCTTAAAGGGACACTATAATCACCAAAACCACTACAGCTTGATGTAGTTGTTCTTGTGTCTGTAGCCTGTCCCTGCAGGCTTTTCAGCGAAAAGGCAGTGTTGACATTACTGCTTAGTAACTAAAATGTTTATCAGTCCATAGCACTAGTATCACTTTAACATAGACACGTTTCTTGCACTTTACTATATCACGTTCATCTCATTCAAGTTGGTAGATGTGAGGCACTTTTTATTCTAATGATGCATAATCATCACTTACTTTATTTAACAATACTCACATTATCACAATGGTTCACAGCACTTAGCCAATTTAGATATAAAAACTTTCAAGGGATTTATTACACTCTCAAATGGATATTATTAATACGAAATACAATTCTAGTCTAAAAGACTTTGTTCACTCAATGAGTAATTAACTATAAGTATTGATCCCCTGTCTTAAAGATTTTTTTCTGGGGTAAGTAACTCATCAGCATAGTATAGATTTCACATATGCACTTTTTAAATCTGGTACATGCACATCAGTATAAAGTATTTTTTCACTTGAAATAGTTACCTACTTGGGCTATGTAGATTATGACTGATGCTAGATTAGGATTTATAATAATAGGCTTTTTTTGTAAACCACGTTTTAAGAATAATTCATGTGGCTGTAAATATTACAACCCCATGGTACTAGAAAGACCCGTTTACTGTTGACAGGTTGTTAGGTCACTCTAGCGTCATCCCGCGTGGCCATGACAGAGTCAACAGCTCTCGCTATTACGGCAGCCAGGGGGTGGAGCACGCCCACTAGAGAAAGTCTAACACTGTTTACATGTTGCCATGGCTCTTTAGCAGTATCCTGCATTGCCATGGCAATGGAGCATACGGCTACACATCACTACGGCGGTCACGGGGTGGAGCACGCCCACACATGCGCAGTACACTCGGGGAGACGCCAGGAATAAAACAGGATAACTGGGGTGAGTAAATTAACCTATTTGTACATGGGTATATATTACAGCAGTTTTGTATGTTTTGATCCTGAAGAAAGTCCCAGGGGGACTGAAACATTGATCATTTTTATTTTGTTGAACTAATAAATATTTGAATTTTAAAGACTGGAGTGCAGCCAACTTTATACATGAACTATACATTTGGGAGCCCAGGGAATGTGCACCCGGCATTGGAAACCCTCAAAGTGTGAGTGCAAGGTATTGTTTGGAGAGAGAGATCGATCTATATCTCTGTTCCTTTTAAAATCCTGCGTTGTAATCCATTGTTTTGCTTGTAATTCTATCTGCGTAGTTTTAGATGCCAACTGTTTGTGATCAGCAGGAGCAATATTTGAGGTTAACATTTGCTAGGTCATACTATACAATCTACAGGGTCTGTGTGAGAGTTCTAAATAAAGCAGTAACTCACAGCACTGCCTGGTGTCTTCATTGTCTGTACATTAAGTATTTTTGCACCAAGGTAGCTGAGCCAACAAATTCTTGCAGTAGATACAAGCAGAACAGATCTTTAAACCGATATCTCCAAATATTTTATTTTCAGACAGAATTGATAGATGTATTATCCGGTTTCCGATGAGGATGTGCTGCTCAAAACTATGACCACGTGCCCTTCTTTTCAGCCAGTGCTATCCATCAACCTCCATGACTGTCTGAAATGAAGAAAGACATTAACACCCAGCGTTTATAATGGACTTTGTAAGGACCCTGAAGGTATTACTAGCAGTACAAATTACTGAAAATGGCAACAAAACGTAAAAACTGCATTTGAGCATGATCTCCTAGGAACCACTGCAAATGAAAAACAGAACATTCATAGAAGGAGCAGTTTGCCATGTGCACCTTAAAGGAACACCCTGGGCACCAAAACAACTTTAGTGCATTTGATAGTTTGGATCTTTAATCCCTTCAATACAGAATATTTTGGGATTGGAAAAAATATTACCATAACATTTGTTTGAAACAAGGGATGCACAGCTAACATAATTTAACATTATGTAAATTTACCCAAACCACCTGTTAATTATAGCCTGGTACAGGACTCCCAGCCACCACCTTCCCCTAAAGGGCTGTAATTCACTTAGTTAATCCCTTCCCTGCTGTGTCTCTCAACTAGAGACAAACTATCCATCCAGAGAGCACCGTGGACTAACAGGAAGCACTTACAAGCACAGTGTGCCTGAACGGGAGCTACTCTAAAATCTTGTGGAACTGTAGATTGGATCATGGGTTGCCATGGTCCGGTCAAACTGAAACATAGCTCTCAGCCCCAGTACCACCAAACAGGGTGCTATTTGGAATGGTGATCGAGGGGCTTAAGGGAGCTTCATGTACCAGACCTGCCAGCAGTCATCTTCTGAGACTAAGACTTTTCACCCAGAGGAATGGAACTCTGTGCTGTATCAGAGAGTGCTTGTGGCCCAGTCAAACTTTACCTTTGGATTATTTGAGCTAGACCTCAGATCCCGGTGCTTTCTGGTCTGAATACCCTCTTGGGTGGGGGGGGGGAGCTTTACAGGGATGGCAATGGTTTAGGATGCTTGAAGGGGAAAGGACCGTTTTAAGGGACACTTATGTGCCCTGGTGTCTGGCCATTAATAAAGTTATCTCAGTTGATCAAGCTATGTCATGTCCCAGACACCATTGCAGCAGGATTGTGAAATATATTGCACAATGTATTGTTTTCTTGACGATCCCCCTGCTGGGAACTGTCTTGTAAAAAGTCCACTTTTACTCCATAAAGTATTCATGTTGTACCCTGCATCAAGCCTCAGCTAATTATTGGGGGAAAAAAAGGCTATAATCATTCTGGGGCTTACACGGCGGGGAAGGGAATACCTCACGGCATTACTCCAGCTACACACACAAATCACAGGTGCTAGAAAATTACTCCAGCTACCATCATTCATACTTTAAACCGTATACAGTGTTCTTTATCTTGCAATATTTCTCCAAGGGTCTGAAATGCTAGTATAACAACAAACATGCAGTTTTCTCATATAGTAGGTGTAAAATATATAAATAAAAATGGTCAAAAACCTTGCTTATAGGCATCTAAGGACCCTGAAGGTATTACTAGCAGTACAACTTACTTAACATGGCAACAAAATGCAAACACTGCATTTGAGAATAATGCCCACAGACAGTAAATATATTTTAATCTTCTTTCTAAAATAAAGGTATTTAAAACTGCAATCTTTATCAATCTCTGGACTGCTAACCCAAGGCTGACAGTAAGATGAGTCCATTTACTCCTCCACCCTCCCGGACTGTAGGAATGTTATCACCCAGTCACACTTCCTGTACTGTTTTAAAGCAGGGGGTGAGCTGACATTCTCAGCATCTTTACATTCATACATATTAGTAACTACCGTAGTTGCTGCTGGCAGAGAAATTCATTGCTCTGCAGGCTGAAAATTATGAGTATAAATGAGGGTGAATGAGGCTTTATGGACTAGATCTCATACTGTGAAACACTCCAAGCTGCGGGCTATAATCACTAAATCTAGCAGTTCGGGAGCATACAAACTAACGGGTATACGAAATACCAGCGTTCGTTACAGAGGGTTTTCTGAGAAGATTACAACAGAAACAATAAATGCAGTATAAAAAGAGACCAAAGTTTGTCAAACACAGTGCATTGGTGCTCTGAGTGTCCCTTTAAAAGACAAGACATTTAAAAAAAAAAAAAAAAAAATCTTAGATACTATGAGGTAAAGTGGAGAAAGGACAGAATAAAGGGGTTACTATTTAAAACATTACATTTAAAGGGACAGCACCAAAAGACTTAAGCTTAATGAAGTAGTTTGGTGTACAGATTAGGCCCCTTTTAGTCTCACTGCTCAATTCTCTGCCATTTAGGAATTAAATCACTTTATGTAGCCCTAGCCAAATATCTCTGTACGTGACTTACACAGCCTCCCTACACCCTTCCTGAAAGAGTGTACTTTTTTTTTTTTTAGCTTACCTCTTTGCACAGTGTTTAATTTAGAATTTACCCCCTCCTCTGTTAATAGCCTGCTAGAGTCTGCAACAGCCTCCTGTGTGTGATTAAAGTTAATTTAACAGCGCAGGAAATCAGAACATCTAAAGTAAACACACTGTGCTGCAACATCTGATTGAAAATGAAACCATTTTTTTCATGCAGGCCATATCAGTCAGGATAGGTGTGACTAGGGCTGTAAGAACATTTTTTAAAAAGTATTAATCTACTTTGGTTTTTTTTTTTTTTTTTTTTATATCCTATGTTTAAAGAGTTACGTAGAAGTGATCATGGTCATATCAATCTGTATGTGCAGCTTTTCAGCTTAAAACACTGCTCATAACTGATATCCCCACTTTTGTGCGGTGGTATAGTTGCATCCCCAGCACAGAGGACTTTGGTTACATGAATTATTATTAATTCTGTGCAGCACTACGTCTGTCGTCAGCACTGGGAATAAACATAAGTTTCACTTGCAGGCAGTGCTGCGACCACAACTGCCAGTAGGAACTTACACTATGTAACTCCTCTACCTCCGCACCCGTAACAGTGTAACGGCTCTACGCAATAGTGATGTATTTGAAGGACATACAAA